GCTTCTTCCACCTGCCTTGCCCAACAAGTAGCACAGACGGCAGTCACTATGCCACCATTTTGCAGTAGGCTGCTAAACTGATGCCCTTCCCACTTGCATTACCTTCAGCAATGCTGCCTGCATTATGGACACTTGCCATCCCTAAAACCACCACTTCGCAGTAGGCCGCCTACCTTTCAGCACTCTCCAGCCTTGTCCACAAGCTGTTGTGTTTGTGTGTGTGCTTGTTTTTTAAACTAATACCTGCTCTGAACTGATAATACCTGCTCTTCAGATGACTTAAAATTTAAAAAATAAAGTGTTTTTTAAAATAAATAAATCAATAGCACGTTGAAGCAACATAGCCATCTAAAAGCAGGTTTAAGACCACAGATCTAGAAAGGCGCAAGAAAGAGTAATTTCATTTAAACTTAGGTGTCAGCTGGAAGAAACTGAAGCGGTTGCATGCCTAGCCAGAGAATGCCTTCGTTGACAGCAATGGGGTTCTGAAGCACCTCTTAAGGTACAGGGAGGCACAAACGAAAGTAGTCATTCAGGTACTCAGTGCCATTAAATGATTTTAACAACGAAACCTTATGCATCAGAGTAAAGCCCGTTGAGTTCAATGGGGCTTATTCATTAGTGTGTTTAAAATTTCAGCATTAACAGGTCCCTCTGAACCATGGGTAGGCAAACTAAGGCCTGGGGACTGGATCCAGCCCAATCGCCTTCTAAATCCGGCCCGTGGACGGTCCAGGAATCTCTGTGTTTTTACATGAGTAGAATGTGTCCTTTTATTTAAAATGCATCTCTGGGTTATTTGTGGGGCCTGCCTGGTGTTTTTACATGAGTAGAATGTGTCCTTTTATTTAAAATGCATCTCTGGGTTATTTGCGGCACCTGCCTGGTGTTTTTACATGAGTAGAAAGTGTCCTTTTATTTAAAATGCATCTTTGGGTGATTTGTGGGGCATAGGAATTCGTTCATTTTTCTTTTCAAAATATAGTCTGGCTCCCCACAAGGTCTGAGGGACAGTGGACTGGACCCCTGCTGAAAAAGTTTGCTGACCCCTGCTGTGCCCAGAAACAGACTAAAAGGGTGTAAAACAGCTGCAACATGTTTGAGGTAGCAATCTAGCCATTGTATTTTTGAATAAGCTGCAGTTTCAGAACTGCTTTCAAGGCAGTCCCACACTTAAATTACAGTAATCCAGTTAGGATGGTTCTAGGGCAAGCCTTTGTCTGTGCAGAATGAGTTGCAGCTAGTGAAAAAGTGCTGTACATTTACAGAAGCTACCTAAGCCATCAAAGACAAAGCTGAATCTAACAGTACCCTCCTTGTTCTCCTAGCTGTTGGTTGTTTTTTTTTGAGGGGTTGCAGGGTTGCACTCCACCTAAACAAGTTGAACTGTCACCCAGGAATTTGTATGGCTGCAGTGGCTGTTACAGGTGAGAAGCTGAAATAAATTGCCAGAAAATGCCCTGAGCATGAGGAATCTGGAAGAAATTCCAGAGCACGGCCCAAGAAGGGTACATGGCAAAAAGTGTAGAAGCTTGAGATTTCTACTTTTAAAATTGAGGTTTCTATTCCTTATAGGATACAAGCTTAGAAATTTATCCATGTCTTCTTGCTACTTTTTTCCATTTAAATTATTGGAATTAGGCAGAATTGGGGAAGGGCAGTAGCTCAGTGGTAGAGTATATCCTATCTTGCACGCAGAAGGTTCTACCAACTCCCAATAGGGCAAGGAAAGAACCTTCTGTCACACCATGGAGGACCCTCATCAATCAATGCGGACAGGTAAAAAGGTAAAGGACTCCTGGATGGTTATGTCCAAAGGCGACTCTGGGGTTGCAGCGCTCAAATCACTTTCAGGCCGAGGGAACAGGCATTTGTCCACAGACAGCTTTCTGGGTCATATGGCCAGCATGACTAAACATCTCCTGGTGCAATGGAACACTGTGGCGGAAACCAGAGTGAGCGCACAGAAACCCCATTTACTTTCCCGCTGCAGTGGTACCTATTTATCATGTTGCACTAGTATGCTTTTGAACTGCTAGGTTGGCAGGAGCTAAGACAAAGCAATGGGAGCTCACCCCATCGCGAGGATTTGAACCGCCGAATTTCTGATTGGCAAGCCCAAGAGGCTCAGTGGTTTAGACCACAGCACCACCCGCCAATGTGGACAATACAAAGCTAGATGGACCATTGGTGTAAGGAAGTTTGTATGTTCGAGAGAGATGCATTATACATGTTACATTTTCTGCCTTTTTCATTTTAAAAAACATGATACAAAACATCCCTTTGAAATTGGCCACAACATGAAAATAAAGTTAGAACCAAGAATGAGAAAGTCTGGCCAAAGTGTGACTGGTCATGGAATTTTACCTGTAGTGGTTAGTGCCTCAACAGTTCTTTTTATATGCCCCTTGAGGTCTGTCTCTTGCAACTATATATAAACAAGGGTCTGTGGCCCCTTCCTCCTTCATGCATCACCATACACAACACATAATAATTCCACAAACCCAATGGGAAAAAAATTGTATCTTTATTGGCCATATTAAATATATTATCTATTTGATAGTTACAATTTAGTAATACGATGCCTGGCAGGTTTAACATAAGTATGAAATACAGCAAAAAAAAAATAAAAATACAAGAGAAAAGGGGATCTAATACATTAATGCCACTAGAGTACATCAGCCTGGAATGTATAGTCGTAAATATAAAATTCTACCATTATGTTCTCCAGTAAATCATCTGGACATATAAACATTTGGTGGCAAATACACATACAAATTAAACTTTTAACTTTCCAGGAAGTCATAATTTTGGTTAGTATTTATTCAAAAAAACCTATTTATTTTTTTAAAAAATTGTATCTGACATACTATTGCCAATTAAATAAGACTCTGTATTCCCTCCCAATCATTTTTGTCAGAGAGTTCAGCAAAAACACACCCTTTGGCAACAGAAATCTGCTGACAATCTATTGTTTTATATAAAAAGTGAAGTATGAAAGAAAATCAGGTTGTAAACGTTCCTGTGAACTAAAAGACACTAACGTTTGTATAAAACTCTTTCGAACATTGGAGAGAGGCTTCCATTACAATATATGATAAACTTAAAAGTTCTTCTACAAGTAGAACAATACATTCAAACATAGTTTCCAGAATTTTTTTAAAAAATCAAAATAAATAGATCACAAAAAGGAGAGTACATTTTTTTTTGAAAAAGATTAATTTCAGATTGCACCATATATCTACTTTTAAGATAGTTAAGTGATATGTGTGTCTGTGTGTATGTGTCTGTGTGTGTGTGTTTCCACCCAGGTGTGAAATGCATACGCAATGCCACAAATCTTAATTTACCATTATGAACTAACAGCCAGTTGAGAAACACTTTTATGATGTTCTGTTGTCTGAAACAGAGGCATCTCAAGCTAAACTGACTTACACATTACATCCACTGTCCCACGTACAAGTGCAAATGCTCTGATGTTTCATAAAGTTTAACTGTTAGGTTTCTCTTTTTAGTTAAACGGAACAAACTTATTGGATTTATTTGTCCAAAATGAAATAGGTTGATTCCAGCTTTCGAAGGAGCATGAACGTAAAGACAACATTTAATTACTTATACTTCACAGGTACCTGCTGCAGAGGCTTGACAAAGAACAGTCTTATGTAGTGCATGATATTCACCCCCCTGTCCCCCCAAAACAACAACAACAACAACACTATTCCACCCAAAGCCAGACCTGCCACTGAAGATTTCATCACATAACTGAAAAGACTTTGGAACCACAAAAACAATGGAATATGAAACTGCTACCAAGGAGACAGCAATTCCCTTTAAAAAATTTAAAACTTTTTTAAAAGCAAGGTTCATTTTCACATGTGACTTGATCTGTTGGATTACATTGGAGAGAATCTCAAGAACTTAAAAAAAGTGAAAAGAACCGACCACAGTTTGAATCTTTTTTTAAAAAATTTATGTTAAGAATAGTACAAAAAGCATTTGCTCAGTTTGAGCCAAATAGTGGAACATTTATCATAAATGCACTTTTTGTTCTCATTAAAGACAAAAAATTTCTGTGCTTTTCCTCTGAAAAAAAACACGCCGCAGTGGTGTTCAATCAGAAGCACAGGGCGTTACTGTTCTCTCAGAGAGTGAACTCTGGTTGGGCCTACAAGTTGCTTACCAACGAGAGAGAAAGCATTTCATTCAGAAATGTTACAGTATAGAAGGGGGAGTATTTTGCCACGTTACATACCAATGCAAATCCTTCTGTACTTAGGTGAATCTTGGTGCCTTGAGGTGCTTTTGATAAAAAAAACCTCCTAAGAATGCAGACACCTTCTATGATCCTTGGCTCTTGAAGTGATAAATCTAACTACTAGAATCCCAAAGATTAAAATGATCAGAAAAATAAAAGTATCACTAAAGTAGAAGTTGCTAAGATTTTGGTTTCGTTTCAGTCTACAGTATATATCTGTTGTGGTATGCTCTAGCAATGTTCTTTAATACAGTACTGTTCTAAGCCGAACCATCTTTGCTGCTGTATATCTCCCATGTGCAGAGACTTGGGCTGAAGAGGCTGAGCTCCTCCCACCACACCAATCCTTTCTTGGCTTTGAATAAAAATCTTACTGTGAGAATTTTCCAGCTCTCTGAGAATCACAAGTGCATATTAAGGCAGCTTGTTTGCTTTATTTATTTATTTTGCTGTTTTCAACAGCTAACCCTGATTAGAAGATGCATAACTATGTGGTAATAGGGATTTTCTTCTGCTCATTTCTTCTTCCCCTGGGAAGGAAGAGTTTGTGGTGGAGGGGGTGGGAGGGGGAGAAGTTCTACCTACCCAGCCTCGCTGTTAAAAAAAGTCCAGCAGCAAAAATGGAAACGTGGGTCTTATACAATCATTCCCAGTTAGCATTTTAGTTGGAATTTACATAAATACCCAAGGCATAAAACTTCTGTATGAAAAATAACAAGCCGAGTATTGAAGTCGATCCGCAAGCTCACTCGCTTACGATCACAAAGTACTGAATGAGAACAGCAAATGAAATGGCAACTATTGCAAAGATGACGAGAAGCAGGAAGGCAAACTGTTCGTCGCTGAGCGCCTTCTTGCGTTTCGTGAGGTCGGGGCCGGCATCTGTGTTTGGTGCTGCTGACGCCTGTTTCTGAGATGAGAACACTGCGTAAGGACTATATGGTCCAAAGAGTTCCTGGGATCCAGTGCCGTCATTATGCTGGCGTCCAGCACACACCCTGAATCGGTATTCACAGTTATTCTGAATGTTGGTAACACGGAATGAAGTCTCTGGTCCCTTGTATACCTAAGGAAGGAACAAATACATACGTATCAAATTTAAAACACATTCAAGTACGTTCTAAGTGCTACTGAATAGGAACGTATGAGGCTGTCAAATATAGACTGTCAGATCACAAGCCCATCTAGGTCAGCAAGGATGGCCAGCAGCTCTCCAGTGTTTCAGACAGTGGTCTTTCTCAGTCCTACCTGGCGGTGCTGGAGATTAGCATGGGACAAAGAGAAGGTCACTTGGCACTTCAGCCTAGAATAGCTGGGCCTGCCTGCTCCAACCTATTGCTTTTTATATGTTTTGGACTACAACTCCCATAAAAACCATCTGGAAGGCAACAGGTTGGGGCAGGCTGGCCCAGTTCATTTCTCAACTGTACTCATCCACAAAGTACAATGTTCTGGAGTTTAAAATAATCACAACCAACGGGGCTTGTTTGATAGGAACATGATAAATGTAGAATTTACAGTCACATTACTAGAGACATAAGTCTTTAGAAACAGGGGTGTCAACCTGAATATAATACTGAGGGTGCAGGTAAGCCCCACACCACAAAATTAATCGCAAGATGCAGCATGCACACAAGGACATAATTTGAATGGCAATGTTCATCAATATTTTATGGAGGGGGGGCGCAAAGGGACCTTGGCCCCTAGTAATTGGCTCATACATTTAGAAATGTCTTCTATATGGCAAAATGTTTCCAAAGTGCAAGGACTTCTACTCTTCTTTGCTATTGAAAAAAGAAAAGGAGGTGGATGGTGGAGCAGGATGTGATTTTGCAGTTGCAAAGAAATGGGTATGGGGAGTTAGGGATAGACTGGTGCGGTTAGTAGCACTGATGCTACCATTTGGGACTGCAACCCAGCCACAGATTATCACCTCAGTGAGAACTAGGCCAGTGAATTGTGTCCAATAACGGACCTGGGTTAGTCATGTCCATTCACTATGGTGGGTGTACGCTGAGTAGAATCGAGCACTGGCTACAACCTAGAGTCTTGAAGCAGTGGTATGGAACCTGTGGCCTTTCAAGTATTGTTGGGACTCCTATCAGGCCTTGCCAATGTGGTCAAGTATCAGGTGTGACAGAGTTGCAGTCCTCAATAACTAGAGGGCCATTGGTCCCCTCTCCCCTGCTTGGCAGTTTCATTAATTCTGCTACCACAAATAACCACAATAATGTTATTTTCTTCATGAGTTGGATTCCTGCTCAAGACAATTGAGGACCACCACCTTCCGTTCTGGAAAATTCTAATTCTTAAAATGAGACAACAAAGACAACAATATTTTTCAAAGGGCACATGCTTCTTCCCTGCTTCAGGAAATACCCTACACAACACCACTCTTCTGAACACACAGTATTTTGATCTTGCAGTTCAAAGAAATACATATAATAAAAATGACTTTTGCCACAAGTTAAAAAAATTACGTAAGAATCAAGACTTCTCAAACAGAAGAGAGATAACTGAGATTACCTGATCAACTTCCCTCCCACAGGCAAGTTGTAAAATGTAAACAATGGCATCACGTTTCATTGGCTGTAAAGTCTCCCATGTGACCTCACAGACGTTATCTCCCACTTGTTGCACTTTGGGTGCTGAAAAGAGGAAATTCATAACTCAGATCTTAGAAATCCATTTAAAATGTTGTGCATATTCTCAGCTTGCAATGTAAGACAGCATATGCATACCTGTGGTCCTTTCCATTTAATTAGAAGTTTGGCCCCAGGAAGGAGGAGGAGGAGGAGGAGGAGGAGGAGGAGAAGGAGGAGAAGAAGAAGAAGAAGAAGAAGAAGAAAAAGAAGAAAGAAGAAGAAGAAGAAGAAGAAGAAGAAGAAGAAGAAGAAGAAGAAGCAGCAGCAGCAGCAGCAGCAGCAGCAGCAGCAGCGGCGGCCCAAGGGTGGCTTCTTGGTACTGAATTTTTAAACCCTTGCAAGACAGAACAAGTCTTCAACTGGTGGCAAAATGGGAGCCAGATAAGCCTTTATGGGAAGATTCAACCACTGGCACACTACAACCAAAAAGGCCCTGTCTTTAGTAGCCACCTGTTGTCACACCTGCAACATACCTCATTTAGCGGGGGCTTTGTTTTAGTTTCTTGTTTTATATTTCTTGTCTGTGAGCCATGCTGGCAACCCAAACTAGAACAAAACTGGTGTGTGAATAGAACTTGTCCACATTTCCAAAGTGTAAGCAAAACACAGTAAATGTGACACTTTAAGGCAGCCTAAGCTAAGGTCCATCTCACCAAGATGTTTCTCCCACCAATAAGCAAGGTACACGTAGAAGATTCTGGTTTCATCCCCAGTGACTACAAATCATAGGTACACTACCTTTCTACATGGAGGCTTATTACATTCTGTGCCAGCACTGTGTTACCACTCTTTGAATGGAGGTATTGCCCTGCACTGCCTCTAACATTGGAATCCCCACTTCCGAGTTTCCCTTGCTTAAATAACATATGATAAAATGTCCTCACCTTTCAGAGCAGGTGGTGTAGATTTGGTTGTGGTGAATGCGTAAACTTTAGAAAATTCTCCATTACCAGCATCGTTGCATGCTTGGATTCTAAAGTAATATTTAGTGGATTCGCTAAGCCGCTGCACTTTGTACGTGTGACAAGGTCCACTGTAGATAGTAACGAATCTGCAAGGTTGGGGAAAAGATATGTGTGTTATAGACTCCAAAGCACAGCTAATCATGCCTGTTTGCTTCTTTTCAATATACACATTCTTCTTTTCAAGATGCACATTCTGATAAGCTGGTCTCTTCCGCTCTTTATTTCCTTGATTCCTGTAGCTATGTTAATCTCCAGAAGAGGAGAAATACTGTCAAGTGGCAACTACTGAGCAACATTTGAGGGCATTTTTTTAAAAAAGGCTTATCTATGCTTCTACATGATCCAAGTGGCATGATGTTTTGGAGTGCTCCATCTACCAACAACTACTGGTCCAATGAAATTAAAAGTCAGGAAGGAGGCTTCTTTTTCATTCAGATCAGTTCTCTTTATGTGGTAGACCGTGAGACTATGTCTTCCATCCTCATCCACTCAATACATATGCTCTTCTGCAGATGCCACTGGATAGCTATGTGCAACTGTAATGATCTATTACTGTTAATTTATATGCCAATATAGGCTTCGGGGCAGTTTACAAGTATAAAAAGCAATCTAAAAGCTGTACTGCCCAGCTTGTGAGATGGATTCTTAGGTTCTACCTAGAATAGTGTTGGCATGATGCGAGACCTACACACAAATGTTTTTGAATGTTAAGCCTATGAATAACCCCCCAGTGACAGACGCCATCAAGAGGGGTGGGGAGGTGATCTCTTGTTCTCCACTATGGGTAAGTAGGAGAGTGATCTGGGTATGCATGTCGTCCAATCTGGCATCTTCTGAAACCTTGAAGAGCTCCTGAATATTAAAAACAAAACAAAAACTCACTTGATCATGAGAACCAAGACACAGGCAGCTCTCACCTGCCAGCTTTAACTTCCATCTCGAGGTTGAAATGTGTTGTACTGGTGGCTACAGCTCTGCCAGGGCCGTCACCCCATTTTAGCTTAAGGCTCTGGTAACTAAAGACCGCGCATTCCATTTGTGGGGGTTGCGGAGGTAAAGGCTTTGTTTTTGCTTTAATGTGGGAGCTGAAGGGACCAGTTCCGAGATTGTTAAAGGCTTGGATTCGGATTCTAAGAGAGAATGAAGGGAAGAAAACTTGTCGTTAAGATAAAATTATTGCTTAGTTGTTGTTGTTTTTTTAACCACAACTCAATGCAGAGGTGGGTTTTTAAAAACATTTTCCAAGCCAGAGGACTACAATGATAAACAGAAAATGGTTTCCTGCCAACATCCACTTTGTAGCATCCATCTACTAGGCATGCTAGAAAGACAGAAGGACTCATGTACCTTAAGAACAGAAAACAGAGAGAAGTTTTAACAGGTACATTTACCCCAATCACAACTGTGCACTGTGGAGTCATCTCTTCTACACGTCACGCTCAGCGATGTGCTTCAGATGTCACATTAAATCATAGTTAAAAATAACTGGTTTAATGCATGGGTGGGAAACATCTACCCTCTGGAGCTAACTAGGCCCACCAGGCCTCCCCATTTGGTTTGGGAGAAGCCAAGGTGGCTAAGCCAGGCTCTACTGCCCTACACTGGACATCACACACAATGGGGGTAGGTAAAAATCTGGCTCAGCCCTATACAAAACTGTGCTTGCACAGGATTGTGCAAGGCAGTGTTTTGAAAAGGGCTTCTGAAGACCACTGTGGGCAAAAAGGGTTACCAGATGTCATTGTGACATCAGGTGACTGACCCACCTGTCAAATGCATCCCCATGAGGGATGGGGGAAGAAGATAATCTGGTTCGCCACTCTTCTAGTGTCGGTCAATAAAGTAAAGTATATTATGCACAGCGTGATGTTATGCTGTGCATTTCGATTACTTCGTGTTACAAGGGAGGGGGCGCTCAAACATGGAGTTGCCCCTTTCAGCACCTGCCAGTCATCTTGCTTAATTTCTGCCTGAAAGTGAAACTGAGGCAAGCGAAACAGCCACAGGGTGCCTCCTGTATTTCAGCCCCTGTAACTGCAACTGATAAATGCATATTAGATTTTCAACATTAAGGAAGCTTGAAACCTCCTTTTAAGGAGAAAGGTTAGGCCCAAGTGAAACAGGACATAGAAATGTGGATATCTGTGAGCAATGAAAAACTTGACAGGTAGCTATAGGGACTTCAAATATAATCTGAGCTGTGTCTGGATAAGGAAGCTCTTTTGTCCTCTTGGGTTGCTTTCCCAACCAAAATATTGCTCCCTTCCACCTCAGCAGCTTTCCCAGCCACAGGAGAGCAAGGAAGTGGACAGAAAAGCAACCAGGAATTTTTATTGGGAAGATGGGCTGTTGAAAAAGTATTAAGTGGCACCACTGCACTGTTTAAACCCACAGCCCCTGTGTCATAATGAGGCTGTTTGTGTGCCCCCTGAATCTAATTTAGCTTGACTGTTGCATTAAGTGTGCGCCTGATGAAGCTATGTTAATCTGAAACTGAACTGTCTAATCACCTGTATAAAGTGTCAGGTTGCAGGTTCTCCAGAACATGGCTTGTAACTTTGTTGACAGTTGAGACTTGTCTTTCCCCATACTCTATATTGTAGCCAAGGATCTCTGCCCCATGGCAATTGGGCTCCTCCCACTGAAGAGCAAGGCACTTTGAGAGAGGAAGGCGGGCTTCCATCTGGTCTTCTTTGAGCAAGTGCAATACTGTCACTGCAGCTGGCACGGAAGCCGGGGTTGTGACCATGCTAGTCTCCCCAAACAATCCAGCACCAGCTATATTCGCGGCCTGAAGGAAGATGAAGGAAAGGTGTTAAAATAAGAGCAATAGCTAATTCAACAATTCAATAGCTGACACAGAATTCTGCTCTGAAGTTGGAAATGTCGTTATACAAAATAAGAAGAAGAAATGACCACTTGTGTTGGAGAGAGCTTCCTTATTTGGAAGAACTCTAGATCTTGCAAATAAGGGCTTGGTTACAAAGGTTGAAGCTTTTTTTAGCTTGGGGAAAAAAGGTATGCGTTGGGAACATGGCAGAGACCAGGGAGGGGGGGATTGAATGGTGCAGACAAAGTGGACTATTTTACTTCACCTGTTACTGGGGCTGCCAACCTTTCTGAACCAGACGACACTTTTCGAATTTTGAGAGTGTGCTCTGGGTGCCAATCACAAAATAGCTGCTAGGGGAGGAGCAGGGGCATAAGAAAAATGGCTGCCATTGGGAGCATGGCCTAACACAAAATTAGAGAGGCAGTCGCTTCTGAAAACCTCATGCTTTATTGAAAGTTCAAAATGTACATAATCATATGTGAACTAAACATGATGTGACATAAATAAAAGAGAGAAAAAGAAAAAGAGAACCAGCACCCACGTAGAAGGGAAAATAAAGGGGGGGAGGGAAACCCCCCCAAAACTGTATACTAAGTTGTTATTGTACTTCACCAGATCTTAACGCATTACTATTGTGAGAATGGATTCCAAATATAATTGAATTTGTCCATGGCAAGTCTGTGTTTATATGCAAGTTGCTCATTTGTTGCGAGTTGGATTGAACTCACAGTTTATTTGTAAGTTTGATTTATACATCCTCTCATTCTGTAATTTTAGCTTCTTCTTCTTCTTCTTTTGTAAATACTCTCAACCATTTTTACCTGACTTTTATTTTGTTTCCAATTTTCCAAATGCAGTTGCATTTTTGCTGCATTTTTTGCATCCAGACTAGTGGAATAATCGAATTGTGCCTCATGATGCAATATGACAGAATCACCTACTTCTAGCAGAGAGGGGTGGATAAAGTGAGAGCCATGGGCCATTGAGGATGCTCTGGGGTCAGAAGAGTCTTGAATAGTTTTTTTTTTAAAAAAATCTTTCATGCAACACAGCTCTGGAATTACTGAGCTAACTTCCTGTTCAATATCTCATTAGAACAAATAGCTCTTGAGCAAAAAAAGGTGGATGCATCCAGATTTACTTACCTGAACTCTGCAATAATATGTAGTTGCAGGTGAAAGCCCTCTCACTTCATAGGTCAGAAGAGGGCCACTGTATATTATGTGCATTAATCCTTCTGCTTGGCCCCATTCTAATTTGTATTCAGTAACATCTGCACCATTGCATGCTGGAATCTGAAGGAAATAAAAGCAAAAAGTGAAAAGTCAAAATTTCTCATCGTTTGCAGACATATTCCACATTTATTCCTATAGCACAGGAGAAACTTACTGAAAGTCAGTGTGCCCTATTGGATTCATTGATTATGCACACAAAGGCTCTTTATTATTAACAATTGTAAATTGAGAGTTTTGCAATTCATGTTTATTTTAATGGGGCTTGAATAACAGCCATGGAGTAGATGAATTATATGTAAATAAACAACATACCTCCCATGTGGCTACTACAGAAGTAGCTGTCTTACAAGTTAGCACAGGGGCGCGACACGGTTCTGGGGGCCCTGGAGCTGTAGAAAGCTCTGCCTTTTCTGAGGAAGGACCAAGCTGTAGGGAAAGAGGACCCCAGGATTAGAAAAGAGCAAAGAGATGGACCAATTCAATATTCTTACAGACTGCCAATGGTGTACAACTGTCAAACTGGGAATGTTCTTTCTCTGGCTACTGAACTGTTGAGTCTATTTCAGTAGCATCCCTTACAAAACTGGTCTTCTGACTATTAGCCCTCCAAACTTTGGATCTGAAGCAGAACCCTTAGTAGTTTACTTTTGACATGCTGGCTTTTATGTGATTTTATTTATTCTAATTTAAGACATTTCTAGACCACTTAATTGTAGAGTTGGAATTGGAATGGACCCTGAGGACTATCTAGTTCAACTTCCTGCAAAGCAGGAATATACAGCTGTCCCACACAGGGAACGTACCTGCAACCTTAAGTATTATTAGCACTACAGTCTAACCAACTGAGCTATCCTGTTCTATTTTCATTTATAAGAGGTGGTTGACATATTAGCAATGTAGCACGGCTGCATCTTATACTGATCTACTAAGTTTGCATGAAGGTACACATACATCTTCTAGTACGATTCCATCAGGCATATAATCTGAATAGTCGTACCTTGGTTGTCGAATGCCTTGGTACTCATCTGGTACTCTAGAACGCCGCAAACCCGGAGGTGAGTGTTCTGGTTTGCAAACGTTCTTTGGAACCTGAACGTCCAACACGACTTCCGATTGGCTACAGGAGCTTCCAATCGGAAGCCGCGCCTTGGTTTCTGAACGTTTTGGAAGTCGAACGGACTTCTGGAACGGATTCTGTTCGACTTCTGAGGTACCACTGTACATGGGAAGAGGCAGCCATTATAGAGCAGCGACACCTGAAAACCTACTGGTTTCTTTATGTTCTGCCCTTCAGGTTTACTCAAGGAAAGGGATTCAGGATTCCTGCAGTAGTTACTGCCAGAGAGACTATAGCTCCCCTTAGGCCAATTTGGCTCTTGGGAACCTCCAATCTGCTAGGGCAGGGGGGGAAAGCCTGCAAGTGATCAATTGGAAAGGCTGAGTGAAAGACTGGAGAGGCAAGCCTCTAGAATCTTCCCTTCTCACAAGCTACTTTCCATCTAGTTCTCCATTTATTTCTCCTTCACTTTAAAAGGGAAAACCAAGAAAGTTCTCAGGTGCATTCAAGAATGGGAAAAGAGGCTTTAATATATTCAGGCCGAAATTATTTTAAAATTAGAGAATAAATAAAAGTTTAGTAACTGACACAGAATGTCCTTCTAGATTGAAATAATTCTCTGCAGAAAACAAACAAACAAACAAACAAACTGAAAAAGGCACTAGTCCTTCAACCAGTGGCAATTGTTTCTGCTTTGAGATCAGAATGGTATGTAGTCATTTGCCTGGATTAAAAATCACCACCAGAAGACCAGGCAGGTAAGAACATTTACAAACTCCATTCCCCAGGCATATTTTAGGCAGATGCAGATGTGTGGGGGCAACAAGACAAGCAATGCTTGCCAAGGCTGTTTGGGATCTCTCAGATTCCATTTCAAATTCAAAATGACCCAACTAGTGGCGGCAGCTGAAGTAAATTGGAAATGGAGGTCAGAACAAATAGAGGCATTGCCAGGGTGCATCAGATAAAAGGGCAAGCTAAGCTCTTTATTAAGCCTGAAATATGGTGTGGGAGGATGACAGTAACATGTGCTGCCTAAATAGTTGTGGCCAGGTCATCATGCTTGCATGGGGAAAATATTTAAACACTGGCCAAAATTCAACCTTTCCAGACAAGTTTTCAAAACTATATGAAATTCAGATTTAAAGGCATGCAAAAATGATAACAATGCACACCCTGATCTGGATTTCCTGCTTCTACAACCTACCCGACAGATAAATTCTATATTCTATGAAAAAAGAATTTGATGAGATACCCCAGCTTTGTTGGCTGCTTGTGTCCAGAAACAGTATGTCCTCCCAGGAATGAGACCATTCACTGTGCATTCTGGCATCTCGCCCCGGTATATTTGCCTCCGTTCATCTCTGTCACCTTCTGCTATTTCCAGAATGTACTCTGTTATCTCTGAACCCCCATCCATGGCAGGGGGATCTGTAAAATATGAATACAAGTCATGTTTCTGGAGAAAATGTAACCTCAACTATGAGTGGTTGTTAGTTACTTTTATTGCCTTATGATTGCCGCTACCACCACCTTTAACAATGCTTGTCAGGGAAAGTTGGTGAGGCTGCTGGAAAGAAGTCTTTTCTTAGGGCAAAGGTCCAGAGACCCCAGCACCACCCAGGCTGAGCTCAGCCCAGCCCACTTTGTATGGTTTTGTGCACAAGATATTTATGGTGTGATACTGATTTTTTAAAAATAAAAATAGATATTTGATGTTTAGAATGCAACTTTTATTTTATTGGCTCCTTCCAGCCTTGTGAGCCCCTTGGGCAGGGCCGGTGCCAACTTCAGGGGGCCCTTGGCATGGTGCTGTTAACCCCTCCCAATCCAAATTATGGCTGTAAAATATACTTTTCCTCTGTTATGACTGTGACAGCAACACTGCTCACTGCCCTCTCTGCAGGACCCCGAGGCTGTATTTTAGTGATGAGCAGGCAATGGCAGTGCAACTTTTAAATGGGAGGCAAACTACCTGCAGAAGCTGTTCACCACCTTCATCTACCCAAAGTACAATGCCTTGACCTACGATTTTAAATCTATTGAGTTTGTAGAGCTATAGGCTGGGTTACTGGATTTGGGGGATCAGGCTGGTGATGGGCTTCTGGCCATGTTTGAGCTGGTTGGCCTCTGGCTCTGCATTCTAAACAATTAATATTTAGAAAAACTAATATATGTCTCTCTGAGCCCCTGGGGTAGAGGAAGATATCTAATAATAATAATAATAATAATAATAATAATAATAATAATATCATCTACGCCTTTTTTGCTGATCCAACTTGCAAGTGAATGCCCCCCCCCATTTCCTGCCAGATCTTACCCCAAATAAGACTGAGTTCCTTGGTCTTGGGTTTTGCAGCCAGATATGGAGAATTACATGGCCCAGGAGGAACAGCTGGTGTCTGAACAATGAGTATATCAGAGGCCTAGAAATGAAGACACATATTGGCTTACAGGTGTCGAAATACAAAGCATCCATTTCACATGCACTTCCAACATGTTCTTTCAAGCAGTGCTCTGTGTGTGTGTGTGTGTGTGTTAACTCTGCCTTCAGAACATGACAAGTCTGCGCCAAACTAAACCCAAGTTCTGCACCTTCATTAAACCTCCATTTTTGTTGTTATCGTGATGTATTCTGCATGTGGAAGGACAGTGAAATAGGGCTGGTCCTATATTCCAGTAGGTAGCAATCCTTCTTAACTGTGACGATTTCAACCATGGACCCAGAGGCACAGTCTTGAAGGCAGATGATGCAACAAAGCTGCTGACACCCAGCAGGTCTGACCCACGTGAACGTCACCTTGAGTTCCTTTGTGTGCAATAAGTAAGATAAGACACTGCTCATCTACTTTTAAAGTCCATATTTTGCAGCCCTGCGAGGCCATAAACCTGCTTTTTCATATTTAATTAAAATGACTAGATGAAAATGGATATTCTAAGGATATTGAATTCTATGGATAATAACAAATTTTGCAGCTTTCGGTGCACTTGCTGTGTATGGTGAAATACACACATCCCCCTCCCCCCATGTGTTTTTTAAAGGGACTTCCTTGCTCACCTGGCTTTGGCCACCTCTGCCAATGCAGAAGACCCTTAGTCTGTATGACGTACCAGGGCTGAGCTGAGTGCATACATGTTCTCTCATGGAACCACTACATGCTACTTCCCATTTACTCCCTAAGAGAAAAATGAAATATCAATCAACAGTCAGGGGGTGGGGAGAAAGAGGGAAATGGACTTTCGCAACATTACAAATAGCAGTGTGGCAACTGGAACACCAAGAGGACCAAGGAGAGGACATGGATAGGGCTGTCCTCAGTGAGTCCCTCGGAGCAGATTTTCATTCCAGGCAAAGGAAAGTCCTTCCACAGATGACAAATATTTGCTGCTTTCAGGCTTGTGCTTGGCAGCACACAATGGTTATAAATGGTTAAGAAGTCACTCGAGGATCCAATCTTGGCTAAAAAGTGAGTGCAGATATATCAAAACAAAATTACTATCTCTTAAGTTTTAAGTTAGACAAATCCAGGAGTGATCCCTGTCACGTACAGAAGTGAAACACAGACATGATCATAACTAAGCAAATCATTTAACATGTTCGGTCACTTACCAACTGACGCTTCTGAAATTTCTAGAATATACACGGAGATGTCTGACCCTCCATTATCCTTTGGTGGATCTATAGAAAAGGCAGAATTTAGAAATGAAAAGAAACTCATGGTTTAAAATAAATACAACTAGTTCCATCACAAGTTGTAACAGGTGGTGCACTGCTTGGTCCAAAATGGAATTTTGGTCAAAATAAAGACCTGTGCTCAGAAAAAGGAGTCAGAGCTGAAAAATGACCCACTGTTTGTTTGATCCTGAGCCCTCCACCAGGTAACTATAGAGCCTTTCCAAGTTAAAATATCTGTACTGTTTTGAAAGTTTGGCATTGAGTGACACATGGCCATGTACCAGATGAGGTGCAGTGTATGCAGGAGCTAGCCCCCCCCCCTCTTTCCATGTGGGAAGCAAAGAAAAAAGGAATTATGAGCAATACTGCACATCTATACATGCATGCTAAACAGGCAGCGATCCAGGCAATCACAAAATGCATCAGCCCAGACTAATGAGCCTCTTGCTCATTACTTCTGTGCAGTTAATTACATGCTCATACAGAATCAGCAAAGGCAGAGAGTTGAAGTGTAGCCAGTGTCTTTTCTTTTTATGCAACGGTGCAGATGGAGTGGGTGGTAGGGGAAGAGAGAGACCTGACTGCATAAAGTTAAAGTTCACTTACCCCAGGTAACTTTCACATTATGTGAATGGATCCTTCCCTTTACAGCTGGTTTACTTGGAGGTCCAGGTTTGTCGGGGATTGTGCTGAATTCTACTACCTCACTGGGGCCACTTTTACCTTCACTGTTGTGAGCAAACACCTGTCACATCACAAACAGAACAAACATCAGCTTAAAAACAAACAAGCTTGCATTCAAATGCCTCTATAAAAAGATCACCGAGAGAGCCCTGTTGGAGCAGAGCAGATGATCCATCTTGTCTAGCATCCTGCTTCTCAGAATGGGCTGCCACATGCCTCTGGGAAGCCTGCAAGCAGAAAATCACGGCAAAGGCAGCTGCTCCCCAGCACTTGCAGTCACCTAGAAGCCTACTCTCTTTTTAAAAGGAAGACAATAACATTACTATTTGAGGAAAGGGATTTGTGAATGGTCCTGATAGTTACGTGGGTGGGCAGAAGGATGAGACACGAAGGATGACTTGGTAGGAAACTGAAGTGTTCAAAGGGAAGCCTTGCAAACAGGCCTGGGGGTTCTCACCATTTTCTGCCCCCACCCTCCCAAAAAAGCCAGAGGGTGTTATCCAGCGTAGCGCTGGGTTAAAATCACTTAGTGATATGCTTGTTGCGCTGTTGTTGCACAAGGGAAAACACTAATACAGCACCAAATAATGTTGCACAACAAGTTTCTGCTGGCACTGTGCTGTGTCGGGATTCCTTTGCTGCACAACCTTTAAACTCTGCCATCTGCTAGTGCTCTTGTGGGGCTCTTGCGCTAGCAAACAGAAAACATTAGATAGCTGTTGGATTTCCTATGAAGTGAAGAATCTGCCAGCACAGAGGAAGGTATTTCAAGGTTTTAAGAGCATTTCAAGTTATCTTGGTATTTTTTCTTATAACTAAATGAAGTCAGTTATCTGGACTACACTGAAGGGTTCCTTACAAAAACCCCAGGAGATGCTGCATTTTCTTATAGCGGATGTTTGGCTTTCCTGGTATCTGCATATAAATATGCATATAAATATAACAAATATGATTAAGTACTACTTAATAATGCTTGAATTTGGTACATACTCTGAATTTATAAGAAGTGCTCCTTGTAAGGTCTTCTAAAGTGCAAGAAAGTTCATCTCCGTTGTACCCTGCTTGGAAACCATAATTCTGGGGTGGGGAGAAGATGAAGAAAGGGGACATTTGTATGTGCACATGCAGCAACTACATTTTTCTTACACCAAGGAAGAGGATGTTAAACATTCCTTAAGGTAATAAAACTGTAACAGAGAATATCCACTGAATGAATTATATATGCATAAAGCCAACTGTGACAATTGTGGTTTTTAATGTTGGCACGTCCAATCCTTGTACCCAGGGTATATAGATGCATTAGCCCCACAGATAGAGTTATATGCGATCATAACAGGAACCCCCCCCCCACAAGGTAAGTGATATCTAAGGAATCATCTCAAATAAAGAAGCAGATCAGGGTAGCCCCAGTTCATGTCAGTCTATGTCCCACTCTGAGCCATTGGCTATGCTTGCTTGCTGGCACCAATAGGAGTTGTAGCTCAGCAACTACAACCCACATAGGCTGCACAAGATCACAGTGACTACAAAGTCTATGACAGCCTTTAGGTGTGCTTCAGTATTAGATGTTTACCTACTCATTGGACTTTGCCCTACCTTCTATAGGTTGGACCCCTGAGCAACAACAACTCAGCATTAAATTAGTCCTGGAAGATTCAGGGATAGTCTACTACCAACTCCACTGGGATGTCTGAATGAGAGAGCATGTAATTATTTGCTAGGCAACATTCTAATCTGCACCAGAGGGAAGCTGCTCCTTTCTATTTTCCCTGCTTCCAAGCACCAGAAGCTTACCGAACCATCTTCTTCCATTTCTAAAACGTAGGTCAGAGAGTCATCTGTGGATACTCCAGCCGGAGGACTCCATTCAAGTGATAACCAAGTTACCCCTGCTTCTTTTAGCTTAGGAGGCAGAGGTGGTGGGGGGACAATTCCAAGTGTGTAACATACCAATGTTTCGCTGAACTCACTGCAGGGAGGAGTCAAAAGATTAGCAAGAACTTGCGTTGTTAAGAATGGAATGGAAACTCTGCAAAAAATTGCACAACCCGTTATTACCTTATCCCGATGTCATTTCTGGCTGCCAACCTGAATTTAAATTTTGTGGAGGGGGTCAGCTTGGTAATTTTGTGCTGCTTCAGATGACCGTAGTAGCATTCCTTGTATGCGTTGTTCTTCCCCTTTTCAGAGAAACAAAAATGAAGTCAGATAGCCCATTAAGGCAAGGGCTAACTAGCTCTGTGAGAACTCTTGGCTATACATGACACAAAAAAAATTCTCCTTCATTTACAAAACAAAATCCTTTAACATAGAAAAGGTGCATCAAGGGAACAGATTGGCTAAAACTGCCGCAAGGGAATGGTTTGGAGCAAATGTGTTGTTGTTTTGTACAGGAACATTCCATCATGTTACATGAGTGCATAAGGGCAGCCCTGCTAATGCCCCAGCGAATAAACGGTCCACCTGGTCCATTCTCCTGTTTCCTACAATAACTAGCCCAATGGTTATAGGAAGCAAAAAGAAAAAAGAAAAAAAAGGCAGGGTATGGAGGCAATGGTTGGAATGGCTGCCTGTGACATACTGAAATTAATCCAATGATTCAGAAGCATTTGGATGATTTTTTTAAAACCTGTTGCTATTATAGTGTTCTATATCGATATGGTTTCAAATAATACAAGCCACTGTGGAAAGATGCTATGTTTAGAACAGCAGCTATTACATTTATTAAATGAATAAAAACAGATAGCTTCTCGTTTGCTGTTGTTTCTCTGTGACTAGTATGCAGTGGCATGGCTGATGCCTATAAACCAAAATTGTGGAAATTGTTTAAACACCTAATTGAGCTCTTTGCTCTTGGCCTCTGGGAAGAAAAATGTTGAGACTAAAGGAACCAAGGTTCTATGATCCTATAACAACTGCTAATGTTTATAATTTTGCTTTGTAGGCATACTTGAATTCTGATTCTAATTTTCAGGGTTGGTTGGTTTTTTTTGTGAAATTCAGAAAACCTGTTGCCTGGGCCACATTCACATGCACTTCAAAGTATCATGGGATTTAGTTCCCTGGAGCAGTAACCATACGACAACAGGTAGAACTGCATGAATAGGGATCAAATAAATCTTTTCTATCTGACTAGGGTGCCTGCTAGCCTTTGCCAGATTTCTGCAGGTTTACAATGATTCTGAAGTGCTTAGTTATTCTATTAATTCTTTACGTGGCACTTTCCAAGGCACCAGGGGCAACACAATCCTTAATTTGTTCATAAAAAATCTGAAGCAGTTAATACATGGGTATTAACACTCAAAGGTGTTAACAAGTTTTTTTCTCCCTCCAGTAGCCCTGGTTCAACATTCCATAAAAATGGTTAAAACCACTTCCCTGACAAGATGGCAACCTTATAGGATTCTCATCCCTACTTGCAATATTTCCAATTATAGAGGATCTCTCAGTGCTATACTGAAGACTGTTATTAATCTTACACAAATACAGAGCAATCCATATTAGCCAATGCAAAAAAGAGGACTTGAGCAACATACAATTTCAGTTTGACAAGATTAGGATGTTGATTCTGAAATAAGGAACTCACCTCATCCCACTCTAAAAGGTAGTTAGTTATTTTGGAGCCATTGTCATTGGAGGTCTAAAAAGGGGAAAAGGGAAAGCTTTACTTTGCCTAGCTACTGAAAGAGGCAAATTTCTAGCTCTCTATCCTAATAAGTAATAGGTCTGCCAATCCTGAATCGATAACATAACATAAACCTATTGCATGCATGCATATGTACATTTATAACCAGTATATTGAAAACTAGTAATTTTTTCAAGCAGAAGAATGTATGCTCCCAGTTGCTATTGGACGCACTGCCCTACATCCCCAGTAACGTAGTTTATGTAGCTCAATATTCTATCCTATGTTCAGTTTGTGGCTTGTTCTGCAATGGAGTGCTGGCCTCTGTTAGAAGGTAGGTTTGCTGCCTACAGTTCTGTCTACTAGATTCACTAGCAATTAAGTGTGTCTTGACCTACAGAGGCACCCAGTTTCAGACTTCTGGATGTAACGGAACCATTTTGGGATACACTTTCAGAGTCAACAGCAATGGTCTTAAGTGTTGTCTCGGAAAATGCACATTCAGAAACAAGCAGCAACTACTTATTCTGAAGAGGACTGTGTACTCTGAATGTTGCAAGCAAGAAACGTGAGTGATTTTCTTTAGCGCACACACACACACACACACACACACACACACACACACAAACATATACCCAGTGCTTTTTCTGGGAGGACGCAGGAGTATGCATACCCCTAAACATTTTGTGAATCTAAGTTTGGCCTCATTGAGAGGCAGTATTTCAATATGAGTGGGAAAATGAGAGTACCCCTAAACATTTCTTAAGAAAAAAAGGACTGTACACCCAATACATACATACATACATACATACATACATACATACACCTTACCCCCCCCCCCCAAAGGATTGCAAGATGATTCACAAGGAAACCTTTTTAGGTTATACTTTAAGCCCCGTGTTTTGAGTGAGAAGTCCACAGTAATGTTGAACATCTGATTTTTCTAGGAACTGTTATGTCCTGATCTACCTGTGTATCAAATTTCATTAGGATGTACTAAAAATTTTCCATACTGTCAGTTAATCCGTGAGGCCTATGCATGCTTGCATGTACTTACGCTTTGCTCAGAGGGGAGGGGAGGAGGGTTCCAGTCCTTCTTCACACACTCCTTGTCATTCATCATTGAGGTTAACGCCTCAGGTAGAACAACACCTTATCCTACTGAACTTAACATGCAGTATGTTTGTTTGTTTAAACGAGATTCAGTTTAAATAAGTAGGACATGCAATGTTGCTGCGCATCCTTATCCGCTAATGTGAGTGTTCCCGCGCAGCGAGCCAGCTAGCCAGTCTCCTCCTGGATACTACAAAGCGAGGTGAGCAAACTCAAACTCAGAAAGCTTCTTATCTGGCCCTCAGGACTCTTTTCAGGCCGTGCCTCTCACTAGCCCTGCTCCAAGCCCTCCTCTAGTGACTTTGCCAGGACGCAATATGTCCTTGGACTAAGTTAATGCCTCTTACTTGCCTGGATGGAAGATAGAAGCGGGGGCGGTGCATGTTTGCATGTAGAAGCTTTTGGCTTTTGCATGGCCGGAATGTAGCCTACAGTACAAATGTAATAGTTGCAACTGCTGCTAAACCCACTTTTGCCTTTGGCTCACTTGCCCATCACTGAAATGTTGCTCTCAGGGTGAAAGCTGTCCCTCACCCAAGCTGTAAGGGATTTGAAGCAGGTCACTTTACTTCCCCAGTGTTTTCTTTTCCAATTGACACCCAGCATTATATGTTCCTGAGCATTCTCAATCCTCACTGCGCACACACAAACTCACTCCCTTTTTTGTACTTCTGCATACCACAGGCTTCTCCTAAGTATGGCAATACCTCCCTCTCATTTGCCTTGTTTCAGCTCCATTTCTGTCTGCACTATATCACAGAATTCACAATTAGAGGAACAATCGGATTTACTTAAGATACGCTATAAATATTGCTATTAAAAAATACCCTGGTTTAAAATCCGTTTTGGCTTTTCAGTTACCTTCCACTGTAAATTCAGGCTGTTTTTGGTTCTGTTGATTACTTTCGGTGCAGCTGGAGGGTCTGGCTCACAACTATCTGTAGTAAAAGTCACCAGCTCTGAAACCGCTTCCTTTGTGGTACTACTTGAGGCTATAACTCTGTATGATAAAAAAAAAAAAAGTTAAGGAAGTTTTCCTAATGGAACTGAGATCTGAAAGTTGAGACTGTGGTTGGTCATAATGATTTGAGTCACAGTCACTTGTAGGATTGCATTTGGCAAACATAACATTCCTACCATGTTACAGGTCTGACCCCTACCTAAGAACAGTTTCAAAGCACAACAGAACTCCCCCCCTGCACTTTTCCTTCAGGAACCCATTGCCTGTGTCTCACCAGGCTTGATATGTAGGAGAAGATAACAATCTTTTCCCTATTTCAATAAGGAATATGCCTTGGTTCTAGTCCTCTGCGTGTGCATAAAGAATAGCCACACTTGGATTAGAAGAAGGCATCTTCACGTCTTTAATGAATTTGGTTGGAACACTTAACACACTTGCCTTCATTTTGGCCTTCCCTATACTCAGAGCCTCACTACTATGTCATAGCTGGGAACAATCTAGCCACCAAGCAGCAATACTCTTCTGTGGTTACTTTTTATATTGGGTAACTCTGCCCCCAAATGCAAGTTTTGCAAGTACCCTAACACAACTTAGGGTGGTACTGAGGCTCAGCGGAAAATATTTTGCAGGGGGTAAGTAGTATTTGATATCTATTTATGTAAAACTTTCTAAACAACTCTTCACCCTGATGGATTCACAGGGAATGGTAGCTTTATGGGCATGTGCAATAACACATTACAATACAAATCAATATAGATCGATCAACAAAAATGAGAGGCACAAATTATAAAACAAAAAAGCGGTCAGAGGCTATAAAACCAGTTTAAAATGCCTGACCAAATAAAATCGCTTGCCCTGGTCTAGTATTTTGATGCAACTCCAGAAGCATTATTAAAAACAGTAAAGAAAAAGATCTATTGCACCATTTGTATGCCTACGCTTTTCAGTTTTACCACCTGCCTTCCCCCACCTTCTCCAAACCCTTATATCTTTAAGCAACTTCAAACAAGGGAGGTATATGCAGGGCAATTCAGCTACTTTTAACAACAACTACTGTGTTCTCAAGTCTTTTGTTCTTGGTGCCCACCTGACATGGTAATCGGTTGCCGGTCTGAGATCATTAAGAGTAAAAGTCATCACTTCTTCCCTGCAAAAGGAAGAACCCATTATGATAGTGAGAATTAGATAGTTTCCACAACAACAACACCCTATGCAAACAACAACGCCATTTTTCTTTCAAACATATCCTACGTAGTTTCCCACAATGTCGTATTGGTATCTCAAAACTTATATCTCCCAGGACATCACAATTTAGCATTTGTCTGCATGCAATTCCTCATTGCCCAGGAATATCAGGAATTGTAGGAGCAGAATTCCATGAAGGTGAGTGAACTGGCTGGCAAAGGAGAGATTAGGTGCTCCATTCCTCATCTGCACCCTGCACAGGAATTATTTTTTAGTTGGGGGGGGGCAGGCTAACTTATGTGGGCCTATTTACAAAGCTCCCTTAGATTCTGCCTCTAGGCTGTCCTTAGAAAAACAGCACTGGAAAAAATCCATCAACTCCGTCTAAAATATTTTCTATGGAAAGTGAGCAAGGTGTCAGCTGAGATAAGTTGTGTGGTAAAATAAAGAAACTGGACTTACACATAAAATGATTTAAATTTTCCATTTCTACCACCCTTTGTGATTGCCACTTCGTATCTGAACTTTGTAGAGGTGAGATGTGTTTCGCCATTTTGCACCACAAAAGGAGGATCCCAAGCCACAACTGCTGACCTAGCTTGTATTTCAGAGACCTATAAAAAAAAGGGGGGGGGATAATGTGACTTTCTAGAATATTCAAGAAGCATTGGGGGAAATGCAAGTGGGTGCATTCTTCCCCTACACAAGTTGAAATGCTGGGTCTGGTTGCATTTTTTGCCCCACTTTTTATAGTTCTTTAAGTCAATGCATAGTGGTGGTTTAACATACATTTGTGTCGAAGTACTCTGTCTAAAATACTTCCAAGTCTGGTTCATGCATTAACAGTTTCATTTCACAATAGCAGACAAGACTCAACTGCTCTATAACTGCGTAGCTAGAAAAAGTAAGCCAGCCAGCATGGTCAATGGTGAGGAACGATGGGAGATGCAGTCCAGCAACATCTGGAGGCCCACATGCCCCCTGACCTGTCTTAGACTATCTAAGATTCCTACAGCATTGTCATTATATACAAGAAAAAGTACATCCATTCTTTTGTTAATCAAATCAATGTAAAACATGGTTTATTTTACATCATGTCAACGACAACAATATTCAATAAAAGTCTTTAAAACAATACGATAGGTCGGCCATTATAAAATGAACAGGAAAGCAGAAATCCTATCTAAATAAAAGTTTTAAGCAAGTGGTGAATGACAGGAGGAATAAATGAGCCTTCCAAAGAACACTCCACAATTTAGGTAGGTGCAGTCATTGAAAATTCCAACCAGCCCACCCCCCACCCCCAGCTACAGTCAGGATGTAGAGACCATCATCCATGTCAAATCTTACAGAACAGGCAGGACACTTCAGAAGGAAGTGGTTGTTTATGCAAATGAGTTCCAAGGTTTAAAGCTGATCACAACTATAGTGAACAATTTTTTTTAATGCAGCCCATTATTCTTGTATAGTCTATGTGTTGACAGTACTGATGATTCAGAGAAGAAAGCCCACCACAGATCAGGAGGGGGGAACCTGTGCCCCTCTAGATATTGCTGAACTACAACTCCCATCATCCCTGGCTATTGCTCAAGTTTACTGGAGCTGATGGGAGATCAACAAAGTTTGGAGGTTGAAAGGTTTCCCATCCCTGCTGTATATACTCTTAGATGCATCCAAATTCAAAACTACTGAATCAGTTTAAATATCATGGATTGGAAAAAGGAACAAAAAGAAAAGAGAGAGAGAGAGAGAGAGAGAGAGAGAGAGAGAGAGAGAGATATCCAGGCAGTCAAATAAAACATTTGGTCACCTATTTTGGTCTGGTGATTGTCCTAGTTATGTAACCTTTTTCATTCTCCTCTTTCCCCAGCTGTGAAGTTGGTTCAAAATTCACACACAAAAAAACCTAAGTTAAGCAGGCTTTGTGTCAAACCCCATAATTGTCATACCAAGGATTTCAAAATATTTTCAACTTGAATGTTGCCCAACTTCAAACCCCTTAAACTGGGTGTCTTATATACAGAGAACAGCTATGGCTGACTTTTCCCTAAATGCCCCACTGCAATATCAAAGATCAGAAAACACCCATTTGCTTCTTCCACCTATTCACTAGAGTTTGCATAGCAAAGTCATACAGAATGTCATCTTCCACAGTTACTTATCAACTATGAAAACTCCATTTCCTTCTGAGGATCCTGCCACATTCTCAAGTATTGTAAACAACTCTTGTTTGAGCCAGGTTTTGTAAACAGGTATGTCTATTTTGAAAAGATATGCCACATGCTTATTATAACATCTAAAATATATCACTACTTACTGTAGGCTTATTGATGCTTAAGGGTTCTTGGGATTTTCTAGATTCTGTATCAGATTCTAAAGAAAACAAAACAATAAACATACACCACATTGTGAGAGGAAATGAAAACCCCCATCAAAACATTTCTTATTTAACTGCAAACCAAATCGGGACACTTATTAGAACAATAGTAAATGCTGTGCAAAGTTCATTGCCCTTATTTGTTTTGACCACTGAATCAGCTACATATTCAAAGTGTGCAGAAGTAACAGAGCTGCACAGACTTCCTTTGAATTTGACTCACACCATCAAGAATCTGTGCATATCTTGCTTTTCCTTTGACTGATGGAATCTGAAAATTCTACTGTGCTAAAAGTCTTAACAGTAACCTTGTTCATCAGCTACGTTATTTTGGGAAGACAGTTTGAAGGAATGATACGATGAGATTTTATGCATTCAATAATTAAGACTAAAGTTTCAGCAAGGAACATTTAAACGATTGAAAGCAAAACCCATGCATATACATACTCATGTTTTCAGATAAATTTCATGTTAGTTTTTCTAGTTATCCTGCCAAGGCTCAAGGTTCAGGATACTAATTCATGCAGAGGACTGAGTAAGTCAACAGGAGCAGGGAAGCCTCATAAGTACTGAGGTTCAGGTCTGAATGTAGATGAAGTGCCTTTTTCTTTCAGCTTGCCAATGAGGTCTATCTATTTTTATTGTAAATACAGTACAGTTTCCAAATGATTCCTCTTTGCGCTTCATTTCTTCCTTCCATGATAGGCCAAACTACAATTCTGGCAATGAGACTACACTGCAAGAATTACAGTGCATTTGCTCCTATGCTCTCAAGCAGCGGTAGTTTATTTTAATAGTAAGCCATTTCACCCTCTCAAATGCCCACATTGCCAATTCTGTGCAAAGTCAACCAAGCTGGCAGAGATGCACTGTACTGCTGAAAGAAAGTACTGCTGTTCAAGAGCGTAGGTGCAAATGTATGCTTCAGCTGGTCTGCAGCAACATCCAGAGAAGCACACATGCATTTATTACTCAGGTAACAGATTTACCGTATGCGCACATTCTGGCTTGGATCCAAATAACCCCTAATGCAAAGAGAATACAGTTTTTCTCACAGAAGGTGGACCCCACACCACACTGTGTTCTGTTAAAGGGTTCCCTGACCCCCAGGAGCAGCTTTTCAGCAGGCACAAACAGCTACAGTAGGAAGAGGATGTGGGAAACCCCACTGCATGGGGAACTTGGCTCATGGTACTTTGGATGCGAACCTTTGCTCTTCAACAGTACACAATACAGTATTGTTAAATAAGTCCCCTTTGTGAAGTCCACTGAAATCCAGAAGGTATAACTGAATTTTGTGATTGATTGTATGGGTAAATTCACCAAGAACGTAGGTCCAACTGGGCACACCTGTCATTGGCTGTGCATGAATGCACACAAACATCAGATTTCAGCCATAGCTAGTCCAGCTATGGTTTTCCCAGTAGTGATGTATGGAAGTGAAAGCTGGACCATAAAGAAGGCTGATCGCCGAAGAATTGATGCTTTTGAATTATGGTGCTGGAGGAGACTCTTGAGAGTCCCATGGACTGCAAGAAGATCAAACCTATCCATTCTTAAGGAAATCAGCCCTGAGTGCTCACTGGAAGGACAGATCGTGAAGCTGAGGCTCCAATACTTTGGCCACCTCATGAGAAGAGAAGACTCCCTGGAAAAGACCCTGATGTTGGGAAAGATGGAGGGCACAAGGAGAAGGGGATGACAGAGGACGAGATGGTTGGATGGTGTTCTCGAAGCTACCAGCATGAGTTTGACCAAACTGCGGGAGGCAGTGGAAGACAGAAGTGCCTGGCGTTCTCTGGTCCATGGGGTCACGAAGAGTCGGACACGACTAAACGACTAAACAACAACAACAAGTCCAGCAAATGCAGTTCTACTTCAAGCTTCTAAGTTCTAATAATTAACTTCCTCATACAAGAAACACCTCTTCACCTAGGCTTTCTCCACTGTCCCTCAAGGAAAAAAAAATCACTTCTCACTGGCAAGAATCAAGGTAAAGAGGAAGATTAGGAGGTGGGATTGGGAGGGTAGGACTAAGAATGGAAAGGTGGTCTAAGGAAACCTGAATCTTTTCCCAAACAGTGGCTTAATTATTTCATATTGCATATTGTACAGAATTTTGAAATGTGGTACTTTTATTTGCTTTTAGATTGCTATGTATACTTTATTTTTAGTATACGCATCCTGACTTCTTGTCCTCTCATGTTACACCAGGGATGGGGGAACCAGTGTCGTCCCCATCGTCCCTGTCTCCCCCAGGTCCTGTTGCCCTGAAACGCCCATCATCCCTGGCCATTTGCCACAGAAACAGAAGGATTTTTCCAAAGGAAGACTGCAAATAGGAAGATGCCAACAACAGTAGAAGAAAACATTTTCAGTGGCATGCTTTTCATTTCAGTGAAAACATTAGGATCCAGCTCCCCTCTCTTGCAAGTCAGTCACCTACGTTCATAATGAACACACTGCCACACACTGTACAGATGTGCTGCATCGTGTCTGACGTTCTCTACTGTTGACATTGCTGACATGTATATTTTTAAACCCTAAAGGAACACAGACAGGTAGTTCCTCCTTTGTTTCACAAGAATGCTTTGCCATTTGATTTTATTCGCACTGCAGAATACACATATTATACGAAACACACATTATGTTCCTAAAAAGTTCTAACTTACCTCCCTTTCCTGAATTGGCTGCTTGGCTTTCCCTGGCTTTCCCTGCTTGCCTCTGCTTGCCTTGCCCTCCTGACCCTTGCTGTCCCTTTCCATGTCCATTCTGAACGCCGGCGCTGGACGAACTGTTAACTTTCTGAGGTGAGGAAGGAGGGCTGTTCGGTTTATTATTTGTGTTTCCACTAGTCTGTCGGTCTCTTATCCGTTTCTTCAAATGCTCCTGCATTTTGAGAGTTCTTTCATCTCGCGGAGGAAAATTAGCTCTGCCATGGGAACGGGTCTCTATAGGGGCACCAGCAAAGAGAGCCCATTAGATGGGACACAGAAAGGGCAAGACTTTCATTTTCAATGATCCGGTTTCCCCCTCCCACCAAATGTAAAAGGCTTCAAGGCTTAGCCAGATTAGACAACCAATGTATATAAAAAGAAACAGATACAGTTATTGTAGCTACTAATTATTCTTGGAAGCTAATTTTATAACTGTAACATAGATAGCATATGTGCACATGTGTATAAGAGAAAGAATGGCTGCAGTTTTCTACCATAATACTCTGTACTGCACAGAGGCAAGTGCCATTATATCTTTTCTTCTTTTTTTTTGTAAGAAAGAAATACTGCAAGCTTCAACTTTCTAACTCTCACTAGTCACTTGATTGTGATTTGCAAGGAACAACTCCACCTGCCAGGGGAATGGGGCAAGATAAGAGCCAGCTATGGCAATTAAGTCTGAAATCCTAAACCCACTTATTCCATAGGATTTGCTCAATTCAACAAGCATGGTGGGATTGAGCAGTAAACCAAGTAAAAAGCTCCCACCAACAATTGGAGCTTTATGCCTAATTGTTATGGGGAGGTGGCAACTGTCCTTAGGATGGAAGTCCTTCCCACCCTGCATAATTAGGCTTAGGAAATGAAAGCTAAGTTTTGACACAACTAGGAGCACTTTTAAAAGCCTTATTTCCTGTGAACAGCTTGGAGGGAGCAAGGAAGACAGGCTGCAGGCTGGCTCCAAAAGCACAATAGGCCAGCAAACCCCTGCCCTACAAAAAATGAGATCAATAGTGATGGGGAAGCTGCTAAGAATGCGTCTCTGCATGTTCTTGCTGCTTGGCCTTTGTATATAGCAATGAAGGAAACACTTGTGATTCTTAAATGTTGTGAAGGAAGGTAAATTAGAAAGCCACATCTAGGCTATATAGGACCCAAACCATTTGGGAGTTTGTGCCTAAAAGTGAGTGGGAAGACACTGCACACAGAGCACTGTTTTTGTTGTGGATTTATCCCACTTGGAAACAGATTTGTTGCAATCTGCATCAGCTGCAAAGGCATATAAGCAACCCCAAAGAAAGCATCAGACCTTCTAAATATAGGCAAGCTAATAACGGCACTACTTCTTACCCTGTTCTTGATAAAGATGCTGCGGTGGTGTATGCTGATGAACAAACTGTGGTGGTATTTCCCCTGCCGGAACTGGAGGATACACTGCATGAGGTGGATGGGGTATCATAGCAGGATGAGGGTGCATATAATGCGTCACATGTGGGGGAGGAGGAGGAGGAGGGTGAATGGGAGGGTGGTATTCAGTAGAATGTGGCAGAACTACAACCTTCCGGACTCCATTTTCTTCCACCATCTGTAATGCAAAACCAGTATGTTGTATGTATGTGTGTGCTTTAAAATACAAATACATTGATTTTTAAAGAAATCTAACCAATTCAAAAAAATGGGCATAACTATCTTGAATCACATTGTTAGTCAACTTCTCAGACTGGCTTGCAGATCTAACAAACAAGATCCATACCACCACCACCCCACCACTAGCTCTACTACAGTGATGTTCAGTAAGATTTAAGGTAGTACCAGCTCTTCAGCCCAATTGCTGAATATCAGCAAAACCAGCCACAAGCTAAAATCCAGTAGCTAACATGCTGCACAGATACTAAATATATACACTTCCAGGCATGTAAGTCAAACAAAAGTGACTGTCTCTTTGGCCTCTTTCTCTAAACCAGGATAGTAATGTATTGATAGATTCTAATGCAGGCTTCCTCAAACTCGGCCCTCCAGATGTTTTTGGCCTACAACTCCCATGATCCCTAGCTAGCAGGACCAGTGGTCAGGGATGATGGGAATTGTAGTCTCAAAACATCTGGAGGGCCGAGTTTGAGGAAGCCTGTTCTAATGTGTATTGGTACTACAGTGAAGATCTTGAAATTCAAGGCCTTCTCAAAGATTCCCTTTCAGAGTCAAAAGGAAATGATAAGCATACTCCAGGAAGTACCTGACTCAGCTCCATGAATCAAGAGCGCTATAAGGGTTCTCTCCTAGGATGGGCTCAACACTCAGAGCAAAGTGCTCCTGAGTCATTTAAGCTAATGAGAATGGATGCCACAGTGTTAAGGAACCATATATATTCCCTGTACATATATACCCTCCAAGATAGAGTCTTAGGTTCTTAATGGAATCTGAGAGTTTGTAGTGATCCCAATCCCCAATTCCAGACAATGGTAAGCACCAACTCGTCCATGAAATTCTTTTAAGTTACAGCAACCCCCTCTCCACAAACTCTTGCTTCTAGGTCACCTTGTTCTCTTGGAGAAATAATGAAGGACCTGTTCTAGAGGAACTATTCCCTCACCTGAAGTGGGAAGGATCGTGCTGTGTTTAAAGATGTTAACACTGCTCACAGTGTTTTTAAAATAAGTAACTGAATGTTACTTTTAAGCAACCTTGCTAAGATTTATACCCTGATAGGCAGAATATAAATTAATAATAATGAGAATGCCGTCATCATTAAAGACTTGTAGAGGAGGAATAGCATGCTACTTGTGTTGCTATACTTTCGGTCTGGAACCATGGGTGAGATAAGGCTCAGTCAATCATTGTTCAATGTAGTTTCTTGCCTGTTTCATTTGACTGGCTGCCAAACAAAGTATGGAAACCATACACACTGAAACCTTGGCCTAAACCAAGACCATAGAAGCTGCAACTGTCTCAAACACATGCAAGATAAATACTGGCGTTCATTAACTGTGTCTCCTGGTTCAGGTCCTGACCAAGTTCATGGTTCAGGTCCTGACCAAGTCCATGAACCCAGCAGCACTCTTTCCACCCGCATTCTCAAGCAACTAGTATTCAGATATCAGAGTTAGTAACCATGGATAACGTTATTCCTCCATAAATATGCCTAATCCCCTTTTACAGTTGTTCAAGTTGGCAGTCACCCTTACATCTTGTACAGAATTCCATAGTTTAACTTCCTTCTGTCTTTCCTTATTTTCCCAAAATTCAGCTTCATTACACGGCGTAGGGGACGCGGGTGGCGCTGTGGGTTAAACCACAGAGCCTAGGACTTGCCGATCCAAAGGTCGGTGGTTCAAATCCCCACGACGGGGTGAGCTCCCATTGCTCGGTCCCTGCTCCTGCCAACCTAGCAGTTCGAAAGCACGTCAAAGTGCAAGTAGATAAATAGGTACTGCTCCAGTGGGAAGGTAAACGTGCACTGCTCTGGTTCGCCAGAAGCAGCTTAGTCATGCTGGCCACATGACCTGGAAGCTGTACGCCGGCTCCCTCGGCCACTAAAGCGAGATGAGCGCCACAACCCCAGAGTCAGTCACGACTGGACCTAATGGTCAGGGGTCCCTTTACCTTTACACGGCATAGGTTCAATTCAGACCCCATTAGAGTGTATGTAAAGCTAGGGTGTATTTTATACTTTCTTACATGACTCCCATTCACCATTTTAATGCCCATTCAACCCAGTCTGGAAAGATTATTTTGGAGTTCCCTGGAATCTCTTTGTGTTTTATCACTCAGAACAAGTGGGTGTCATCAGTTTCCTAATCTCAATTCATGGCTGTGACATGGACTCCAGCACCCTCCCCTTTTAGCATTAACTGAAGTAAAGTGTTTCACCTGCACTTAAATAAATGCACCAGTAGTTTCAAAACCTGATTTCAAATTATGCTAAAAGCAAACCACAGACAGCATTAAGCACAGTGCAGATAACAACACTTTTGTTTAAGAAAGAAGATAATTTACATGGTAAAGTAGGGAGGGTGAGAAAGAGCGCAGGTAGCTTGCAGGGTGCACCTGATTTCCTAACCATGGTAAAAAGACTAGGAAACGATGCACCAGGTCCATAGCAAGAGCAGCAGTCTTAATGTGGCAAGGAAGCGAGAGGAGAGATAAGATCTGCTTCCATCACACTTTCCATTTAACACCTTTTTAAAGCATTGTTAAGTGGGAAATCATCTTCTTTTTTCTTGGGAAATCTCTCTCTTTTGCAAAATCATCAAAAGACTCTTACTGTTTACCTGAGATACATAACCAGGAGGCACATAGATTGGAGGCACAGAACCATTTGTTGACATCATAGGAACATGTGCTGGACCTAAAAGGAAACCAAGCAACAGAGTGTTCACGTCTGCATACTGTACTGAAGTGTGTGCAGTCATGGTTCATTTGACAATCTGATAACCTAAATGGTGATCATGCATATACATAGACATTTCATTCTTATGTAAAAGGTTTTCAAAGCAATTTTCAAGCCTCTTCAAAGCTTCAAAATGCTGCAGGGTTTTTGACCAAACCAGGTTGAAACCGTATAGCTAGAGTGGTTGATGGACATAAGAAGTGGAAACACAAAGGGATGTATCAGAGATGGCCTTCATGTCTCAGAAAATTAACACATTAAATTACTGATGAAAAGACATGAAGCAGATTTTCAAGGACACTAATGATACATCAATGCTAGCAATGGATGATTGTATTACAACTTATGTAGATTTATATTGGTAGCATATTTTATTAATACTTTTAAGTGGCAGTAAACCCCACCCCCAATGTACACCAACTTAATGGCCATCCCAACACTGATTTTTTTTTAAAAAAACTTATATGTAAATATGTTTAAATCAATGTGCTTAACCTTGGCCTGCCACCCTGCATGGACTAACTGTAATAAAGAATGCCTCCCCAGCACCCTGCTCTGTGCACCAGCAGGCCATACTATGGCTTGTTGGGTCATTTGAATCCAAATAGTTGGAAGTAAATTGGCAAAGCCCATGCTTGGAGAAGTTAGTCCAATGGCTACTGCTAAGCCTGCATGTTCTACAATATGTCAAACAAAAAAATACAGTGATGATGTGGGTGTGTGATAATATATATGGATGATCTAATGAATGGCCTGTTTTGCTTCCCACACGGTGAAGACTGTTCCAGAAACAAAATAATGCTTAATTAGTATTGCTTTCTACTACTGCAGGGAAATTAAACTAATGCAGTGAAAAGACAGCAAGTAGCTTTGTCAAATATTAAGTTCCTTTACGCACTTTCAGATCTTTGTCACATCCCACAGGAATTAAGGAACATTTCTCCCTCCACCCCCAAACTTCTACTTCCTCCAAAGCACCAGAAACTGACACAGAGACAGATTGCTGGGTGCACGGAAATATGCCCAGTGAAAATTCCCTTATGAAGTCAGACTGGATGAGTTCTGCTCACACCCAGGATCTGACTGTTTATTGTGTTTCGGCTGAGAAAGGTTTCCACCAGATCAAACTAGCAGCATGACCTTGGATTACACCCACCATGAGACACTTAGCACTTGGCTTCTCTGCATTAGCCACTTCAATTTATTTGCTCCATTAGGAACCTTGTGTGTTCTCTGCTTGTGGACTGGATGATTTAATTATGGACAGGGTGTGTGAGTGTGAGGAATGCATGCTGGTAGAAGAGTGACCCTGACTTGTAGCAGGTAATCAACCAAGATGAAAGTTTGGTCCCTCTGAATAAAAACTCTATATTGTCGCAAAATCATAAACATTGGATAGTATGTCCCAATCACAAGTATTTAATGTACTGACACAAGAAGGCATGCAAAATCAAATAAAAGCAGTTTCAGGTGACAAATGATATAAATACATATGAATTCATCACCTGGGATACATTGAATGTGTCCATCTTCAGTTCTAATTGTGAAAGTCTCTCCTGGATTTACCTGTACAAGAATAACCTAAGAACAAACAAAACAAACAATACTTTCAATCACATCTGGAAGCAACACCGTTTCCCAGAACACACAAACATGCGAAAATATTGGCAATACAATATTAGTTCTAAACTGTTTCTACACTTAACTATTCTGTAACCAGGGATGCAAATATTAGTTGTAGCAGCCTTGTAAATAATCCCACAATTATTTTGTAGTAGACTTTATCTACCTGCCTGCTCTGTACACCTATTAGTCATTTATTGTGCGGGGGGGGGGGGAGGTAAATGCCTTTGAACAGCTTTCCTGGCCACATTGAAGCAATTCTTTTGTACCATACACCAATTTTCTATTGCTTTGTGCCTAAGTGACTTAGGACCATTTACACAAAAAACAAACATTTCTATCCCAATTTTAGCTGCTTTCAAAAATTTAGGACTGGGATTATATTTCGGCTGCTCAACCTGTTGAAAGGCAAGAGTATGGCCACAGGCAACATATGAAATCTGCAATGGTCTGTCTGCAGTGGATGCCTGTTTGCTCCTGAGATAGTTCAAGGTGTACACTGTTATCTTCAAAGCCCTCAATGGCCCTGTGCTCAGAGTATCTGTGGGAGTATTTCCTCCAATATACTCAAGGAGATGTACCACATTTGCTTTAACTTTAAATCATTTATATCTGCAGACTTTTTCTGGTACACTGGACAATTTAATCACTTTGGGACAGCTGTCAATCACCTGAAGCTACAATGACATCAGGTGAGCTGTTTTCCTTTGCCCATACAAACCGCAAAGGCTTAGAAAGCATGGGGTTTTGTAGGCACCACCTATCAGCTGATCAGCAATGAGTCACATCTTATCTGTCATATATGATACCAGCTTGTGGGGCAGGTGGGTATGCCTTTGCTGAAACAGAGTTGCTGATCCAACAGAAATGTCTGGTGGTCCTAATTAGGTCCATGGGCTAGAAGTTAGGGAGCGAAGTAGCAGGTGATATGGATCAGGCAGCAGCTGAGGCCCAGAAGAGCTTCTGCCAGTCAGAATAGATAATGTTGCACTAAATGGGCAAATAGTCTCCCTCGGTATAAGGCAGCTTCCCATATAGGTTAAAATATTTTAGAGAAAGCAGCACCCTGAACTTAACAGTATCCATTCTGCAAAACTGTGTGGATCAATCATTTTTTAAAATCAATTGACAGTAAACTAACCAAGCCTTTCTTCTACACACACTTACATTGTGACCAGAGAAGTATAGTGGCAAATTGCATTGTTTCCCAAGAATGTTGCCTCAAGCCAGCTGAAAGTCTAGTACCCAAGAATGATGCCCTGTACTTGTTGGATGTGCCCAGAAAATGTGAAAACACATGCTGGAACTAGCCAAGGATAGAACTGTAGAAGGTGATTTATTGGAATATGCAGAAGTGGGAAGGGTTGTAAAGCATATTTTGCATCCGAAAGGTCCCAGGTTTAATCCTTGGCATCTTCCGTTAAGGCTGGGGAAAACTTCTGCATGAGAGTCTGGAGGGCTCTTAGTGTACTCAACTAGATGGATCAATGTTCTGATTTGACAATGCCCATTCCTATGTGCCTATGATTTTCAAAACATCAGCCACAGTTGTCTTCCTTTTCTACAAGCATTTGTAGCCTGCAGCTTTCTGAATAGCTAATTAAATACTTTTCAAGCTCTGAATCAAGCATTTTGCCATTATTTTTGGAAAACAACATTCTTAAGGTTTGCTTCTCCCCACAGTGATTCTACAAAGTATGCTTTGTACCATGTTTATAGAACTAAACGTCAAAATGAGCAGCTTCTCATAGAATTTAGAAATAGTTTCGCTAGCTTGTGCTTTGATTTTAAGCTTAATTTCTCTAAATATGGAAATGCTCTTTTTTCAGCGTGTTTTGTCTAGAAATGTTACAACCAAAGACAGAAAATGTACACTCAGAAAAGAGCCAAGTCCACACATATGTTGATCATATAATATGGACAGGAAAGGTCAACGATGACCTAACGCCACCAGAAAAATAATTACTGTCAAAATATGTTGTTCATACTGAACAAGCTTTTTTCCCACAAGAACTAAAAGACCAGAAGCCTTTGGATTATATCCAAATTAATAGTCACATTGAGAGCCTTTCTGATTACAGAGCAGGGTAAAAATATTTTAAAATATATAAACTTTCTCCTGCATGAACTTCATTGAAACAAACGCACAGACATTCCGAGGACACCAGGCTCTAAGACTACACAAAGGGTACAATAAATAAAACATTTAATTTATTAAAATGTTCGGCTTTGGAGTCTTTCCAGGGTTCCCAAAGCTACTTATAATGTATCATAGGTGGCTGCTTTGGAGAAACTTAAGTCCAACCCCCAATACTAGCTCTCCACCCTCTGTTGCATGGAACTGGCTGCACAGAGAGGAAAGGCATCTTCAAGGTAGTGAAGAGAACCATGGCAGAAAACAATGTTGATGGATTTCTGTTCCATGAACCCAAGAGCCAACATTCCATGACTGTGTGTCACCATCTTAAAGATTATCCCATATACAGATAGAGACAGATCCAGATTTTAAATCTGCACCTGCAGTTACATGTTCACACAAGCCCTGAAGAATAAACTTAGTTAAGGATAATTAACTTAAGACAGGCCATAATGTAATCCACTCACCTCTTGCAATACAGGCACAGAATTAAACTCTCAACACATAAGTAAAGCCAAGCTGAAGCCAAGCCAAGAGCATGCATTTTATGGCACTTGCTGAATTTACAAAACATATATGTATACATGTCAAATCCATTCATGAAAATTAGCATGGACTTATTTTACTACATTGAAGATCCTTTTCCTCATTCAGTGTACCATTTTTTATTTTTTATTTATGGCAGTCCCATTATCTTTATTTTAATGTTGGGTAACTCTGCCATCCAGTGAAGTTTTCAAAGACAACCAGCCACACAAAAGAGAACTGGCACGATTAAGATAGCCATACAAACTGACATTGCTACAGGAGCTGTGTTATACTATTCCCTTGGTATATCTGTAATTACAGAGGGCATGCTCTGAAGACAATAAATCTAAGCGTTTACAGAGTAGAATGTCACCTCTACCAAACATTTTGGCCATTTTCATATCATGCTGGTCCACTTGCCTGTTGTGTGTTGTCCCCATTGACCATATGAGGTAGAAGTGGCACTTCATTCAAAGCGGGTGTGGCTTCTAATGGAGGAGGCTGCTCTGCCATTACAGCAAGAAATGATCATTCGTTGACAGTTCCTTTAAAAAAAACCACCTGCTGAAACAAACAAACAAACAAACAAACAGTTCCAACATCAGCAAGATTTGATATTTTGGTTCTGAAACACAGTCCCCTGATCAAAAAAGCTCAAGCACAACAATTCAAAATGTCTGTGCAAGTGGAGATAAGGGGACACATCTTACCAAAAGTGCCCACCTTAGAACTATAATCAGCAGTTTTAAAAAGATGCATGCAAGTGCGACTCGGAGTAACGTAACTAATTTTAGTGTTTGGATTACATTATGTCTGCTTCTGTTCTCTATTAACACATCTCAACACAGAAAAACACTGCAAGAAAGGAAGAGCCCTCTGGGACAGAGTAGCATTGCTCAACAAGTATTCAAATTATTAGTTTAAAAATATAACTGGTTGTGAAAAACATGCTTAAAACATATTTAGTTGCAGGTGGCAACTTGGGGGAGAACAGAACACATGGGTAGCATATTAGGCCTCTTTGCCCAATTCTGGTTTCTAGCACAATGTGAGATTAACATTGTATTCCAGTATTATGAATGACTTGTGAAATTCAGAAATAAATTTATTAGCCCATCCCAAAGGCTCTGTCTGGGCAAGTAAGAACCCACAAACAGCACATTCCCACTAAAACATTTTAAAATTCAATCAGATTAAAATACCGTTTAAAAAGTCGCCCACAGCCTGCCAATTTAACCTTCATCCCTGACAGATAGCCCAGTTGGATGCAGTCTTCCAAGCTTCTAAAAAACCATCACATTTGGGCCTTTGAGCATAAGTGGATGGCTTCACATGGATGCTAACTTTCCGAGTGTAGGGAGTTTCTTTTACACAGGAGGCATGTAAATATATGATCCCCTACTTGCAATCTAAAGTGACACAGTCTTGGGAATGTATTGTGTGTTTTCCTGTCACATTTCAATCAACCTTCAAGTTGAAGCTGAAGAACTGCCTTCAAAAAGTGCCATTTAATAGCTAATGTCAAAAGTCTATTTGGATACAGTTAATATTGAGTAGGGCTGCAAGACTAACATTATAAGACACTGAGATACTGAGGTGTACAATTTAAATATTTGGAAAGATTATGACCTAGTGACTTCCAAACCTACAGGGCAAAATCTGCTCTGCAAAAGCATTCCACCCCTTCCCATCCCTGTCTGTACCCACTAAATCCTCTATGAAAGCTGGTGTAGCATAATGACTAACAGTTTCAAAAGAAAAACAGAAAAATAGGAACCTGATTTTATTCTGAGAGAAACCCTGCTCCATCTACTCCTACAGGATTTAAGAAAGATCTTTCATTTTCATTTCTTCATATCATTTACATTTGTTTTTCTGCCTTTCCGCATTGCTGAACACAAGATGATTTAAAGCCGTAGAAATAACAAAATATACAACGAAGATTACACATCCTATGACAATCCAGAGCAAATGAAGCCATAATAAAAATATGACTTTAAAATAAATAACTTATACAAAATTTCATAATCAATTTAGAATATATTACACAATAAAATTTAAAAATAGCAGCACATGATAATTAAACAGAAATTCACTCTCAGCAATTACAATAAACCATTACTAGACTATAATCAATAAAAACTAACAGCAAAGTCACAATACATTAAAAGCCACATAAAAAGATTGAATTGAGCAACCAAGTCACATAACTTTTTATTTGGAGGTATCCAGGGTGAGATCGAACCTAGAACTTCTGCATATAAAGAATGCATGCCAAGAGACCAGCGAGCAACAGTCTCTAGTGCAAATCTTACCCCAACCACAAATTTACTAGCTGGTTTTAGCCCCCAACACAGGGATAATACTACCATTACAGAGTTGTTGCAAAGGCTATAATGATTACCTGTGTGAAGCACTTTGAACACTAGTAATGAGCTAAATCATGGTACAATGGTACCTCGGGTTAAGAACTTAATTCGTTCTGGAGGTCTGTTCTTAACTTGAAACTTTTCTTAACCTGAAGCACCACTTTAGCTAATGGGGGCCTTCCGCGACTACTGTGGCGCCACTACACGATTTCTGTTCTCATCCTGAAGCAAAGTTCTAAACCCGAGGTAATATTTCTGGGTTAGCGGAGTCTGTAACCTGAAGCATCTGTAACTCGAGGTACCACTGTATTGCCCTTTACACCCAGAACACAAACACTGGCCTGATTCAGGCAAAACAATCTCAGTCAACTGGTTTATTGGACTGGGAATAAATGTTCCTTCTCCCTCTTCTATCCTCCATCCTCCTGTGTACCATAATCCAAAATTTCCAGGGTTTGTTAAGTCACAGCTTCCTGCAATGCCCCAAACAGGAAACTGTAGCTTAATTACTGATTAGAAAGCATGATATGAAACCAGGAACACATCTAGGGAGAAAGAGAAAGCTAGAGGCAGCTGGAGTGGGTGGGGAGAAGGCCCAAAAGATTTGAGACCAGGTTCCTGTGCAGACATTCCCCTACTTGCTTCACACATGCTACAGCCAGGTCTGGGAAACTCCCAGGACCTAGAATGTGAGACAGCTAGGACAATAGCTGGCTTTTATTTCTTATATTAACTGAAGAAGCAGGTCCGCTTCTTCCTCCGTGTGATCTAATACCTTAGTATGTACATACTTCAAAGCTTAAATAGAGTATGGGTTGTATGTTATTATGCTATTTACTGGGGCTATTGTTTTCTTGTGTTTGCTATGTCTGTTGACAGCTCTTGATCTGACATGATTTAAAACATGTGATTTGCATTGAGAGATTGGGTTTTTTGAGTAAACATCAGAAATCCATTATTAAAAGGCTGAATTTTTAAGAGGCACATGTTACAATGTTAATATACAACACGGAGCTGTCCACAGCCTCATCAGCTGGTGTGACCACTACAGTTCACATAAAACCAAAGACCTGCCAGCTTTACTTAACAGAAAAGTCTCCAATAGCCACAATTGCAAAGCCTACTCAGAAGTACCAAACACCCTTAGTGCAGAGATTTCCAAACTGTGTATCGTGACACATTTGTGTGGCGGCTGCAGTGTGAAGGTGTGTCATGTGAATGCTTCCTGCACTCCTCCTGTGGCTAGAAAGGAGTTAGTTTAACCTCCAGTTTGCTAGTAAAATTACTGTATCGCAAAATGATGTATGTCTAAAAATGTGTGTCACCAACATGAAAAGTTGGGAAAGCTCTGCTCTAGTGAGTAATATTTATAGATAATCTGGGCAATCACCATTCAGAGTAGCCCTGATGAGTTTTTAAGAAGTAGTCTTTTAAAAAGCCATAGTGTGTTTTCCAGGTTTTCGCATCACAAATGTAAAAGTATATACAGTGGTACGTTGCAAGACGAATGCCTCACAAGACGAAAAACGCGCAAGACGAAAGAGTTTTTCGTTTTTTGAGTTGCTTCGCAAGACGAATTTCCCTATGGGATTGCTTCGCAAGACGAAAAACGAAAACGTCTTGCAAGTTTGTTTCCTTTTTCTTAAAACCGTTAATACCCTATGGGAAACCGTGCTTCGCAAGACGAAAAATTCGCAAGACGAAAAAACTCGCAGAACGAATTAATTTCGTCTTGCGAGGCACCACTGTATTCTACTGTCAGAGGCAGAGCCCTTCTGCATACCAATTGCTGAGGCCGCTGTTACACTCAGGTCCTGTGGGCAGATTTCCCATGGGCAGAAAGTTGGCCCTTCTGAAAACTTGACAGGAACTGGATAGGAAGTAGGAAAATGGCATAGGGCATACTGCTCTCTCAATCGAATTTGGAGCCTTTGGTTTGATCCAGAAAGGCTCTTATGATTTAAACATTTTCCACACTGAAATCAAGGTTCTTAACTCTAGCTGGATTGCTCCCCAAATGTTTCAAAAAAATAACGGGCACCAGAAGCTCATAATTCAGAACTACTGATTGTTCCTACAGGTGTTCTAATCTATAGATAGGCAGCACACATATAGGAAAGATCTCAATCACTGTGTCATGGAGGTGCTCAGACCACCTACCCACTCTTCTCTAAATAAGACCCTGCTTACTTCCCTCCAGCTCAAATATTGGAGCCAAGCACTGGGGTGACCAGGAATCACTGTTCTCCCTACATCTCAACTTTGACATGGGAAGAGGGGGAATGGGAAAGGGGGGCTGTGCTGAGACATGGGTCAAGTAGAAGGGGAGCAGCAGGACTCAGGTAAACTAAAGTTTTGGCATGGCTACCAGTGCTGGCCAAAATATGTGAATCCCAATGGAAGCTATTTGGTCTTTCCTGGAAAAGGGCATATAACTTAAGTATAATGGTCTTAATGCTTTCTTGTATCTTGTGGCTCACAGTTATCAAAGCTAATATCACATTCAGAGCTGGCTGTTCTGAGAACAAAGGAGGTTTACAAACAACATCATTAAATGAACTGTAGTCCAGTCTGGCAATCTCAGAGGAGGAACACTGCAGGGAACAGTAATGTCCTGTTCCTGTCCACCCCAACCCCCCTTCATGAAGCATGACTATGCCTTGAAATGTGGATTTTTAAAATACCCCATACTTCTTTTAAGAACGTATTTTCAGGTTGCTGAAAGATGCAGCTAGTACTGCATTTGAAGCTACAACCAAGTCCAGCATAATTTTTAATTAAAAAACACACTGTTAAAAAGGTACCAAACTTTAAGAAAGGTTTGCATGTGAAGTAAGATGCCTAGAGTTGGATCATTCCTGCAAGAACAAAACCTGAGTAGTTTCTTTTGGGCTTCTGACTCATTAACCCCAATATTGAACTTTGGGAAACATACAGTTCAGTTTAACTCATGTTTGTTTGGCCCTGCAAATGCAAAGACAAAAATCCCCACAGGCAGGTATTTTTGAATAATCTTTAATATGAAAGCAGTCATAGAAATAAGTCCCCATAACTGAAGACAAAGCCCTCTACAAACCTGAAATTTCTAGACCGCCTCTCCTTTGCTATTTTCCCCAGTTAAACACATCTGTAACACCTTGTTAGATTGCTTTTGAAAGGGCTTCTCTCCACTACAGCAGGACCACACACGAACATTTCAGGCAAATTGGTTTCCATATTGCAAAATTCAAGGGAGGTTGGAAAAAAAAGACTTTTGACAGAAACCCCGTTATAACTTAATTTCGGGAAGGAGGGGGTGGCATGGACCATCACCTCTCCATAATACCAATCTGTTCATAAACTAAATATATGTTTTTATTAAATCTTTAGAAATAATGTTAAATGTTTCCCAAGGGAGCTTATATGCACCCCTCTTTTGCGTATAATATTTGGCTTCCATCCAGAAAAGTACCACAGGTTATGTTGAGACACTGGACATGTTTCTTAGGTATTGCTCAACAAGTACACATAGTCAAACATTTTCTGTGTTCACAGATGGAAAATAGCCACATAATTAATATGTGAAACAGCTTTGGCTGTGGCAGGGATAAACCACTGCAGGGTTTTTTGAAGAAACAAAACAAAACATACAATTCCTGAAACACTCTGAAGTACAAGAGACTTCCTTGTAGATTTCCTCATGAACTATGCTATCACTCCCATATATATATATATATATATATATATATATATATTCATTTACAAAGATAGCAGTCTGCAGAAGTGTCTGAAGCAAAATTATTAGCTCTGTATTAGCATTAGGAGATTCATTTACCACATTATTATGAAGATCTGTATAGGCTTAAACTTGCCGCAAGCAAACTTAACTTTCCAATGCAATCATCTAGGATGAGTCAACCTTGCAGTTGAGAATCCTGTACTTCATTTCCTCTATGCCCCATAAGCTAAGAGGAACGGAGTGTAATGGAGCCATGGGTGAATAAGACTGGCTGTCATTTATCCAGAGCCCACCAAGAGTTCTCTTTCATATACACCACAATCACATTGAAGGGGGAGAGAAAAAGTTGACCATTTGCTTTGCGGGAAGCTCAATAGGTTTACTAGAATGGGAGATGCACCATGTCAGCCACACCCCGTGATATTGCTTGGCTACAGTTATAACTGCAAGTAGTAACAGTAAAACAAATAAACAGCTGGTTTCATTTGAAAGCAAAAAATCAAGAACCATTCAGGACAGGACTTCTACAATGGCTCTAGCATTGTGGGTATCATCTCATAGTACCATGACCCAATATTCCAGGTGTGGGGAACCTTCGGCTCTCCATATATTGCTAAACTACAAATCCCATCATCACTAGCCACTGACTATCTTTGCTGGGGCTGATGGGAGTTGTATTTCAGCAACACCCACCCCTGAAATATTCTCTCAAATCTTCGGGTAGGCTTTTAATAATGCAAGGAGGGGAGGGAAGAGAGCAAGCTACCTCGAGATCTTGAAGAGCTGCTGCCAGTCAATTGTTAATACTAGGGCAGGTACACTAATGATCTGACAGTGTAAGACATAGCACTGCATTCAATGATATTTCTATTCAAAGCAGACCCACTGAATTTTTTGGACATGAGTAACTTGGATCCATTTATTTCAATATGTTGGGGGATTATTGGGTTGTTTTTGTTTTTGTTTTGATTATGTATTTTGTGGTTTTATATTCTGATTTTATCCTGAGACCTGCGGTTATAGGGCGGTATACAAATTTAAATAATAATAATAATAGTTCTACTCTAAGTAGAAATGAGTTAACTACAACCAATAGCTCATTATTCCCTAGCAAAAAATATTATTATTCAAAACAAAATGCACACAGTCCAGCACTTTTTCAATGAATAATTTTGACGTCCTGAAAAATGGTACTTCAATTTTACAAGGAATATACAAATCCCTTAGTTCAGGGAAGTGATGGTCAGGATGATAATCCAATATGGAAGATTTGTTCATCTCACTTTTCCCAAGAGTGAAAGAATATATGTACTCTGCCTCATTTTTTAAATATCTGGATTCAATTTTAAAGGGCATTTTAATGCATCAATAAGTCTCATGCTTATCTTTCAAAAATTATCTGACTCAGCAGGAGATCCATACTTTAGCAGAACTGATTTAAGCTTAAGAGTATGGGACACTTCTTCACCCTATTTATATATAGCGTACTGTACTTATGGAGACCCTCACAGCGGCCACTTGTCTCTCTTTCTCTTCATTTTACAACTTCTGTGCCAGAACTGTTAGTGACTCATGGCCACATCCTGTAGTGCCTAACAAATCCTCCCCCAGATAATCCTCTGTGAATTCTTCAGAGAGCAAGGGACCTGAGGCTTAGGGGAACCCTACATGCTGAACACAGACACTACCAAAGTTTAAAATAATAAGACCGGGTTATTAATTTTCCCAGCTTGTAATGTCCACATACAGTCCAAGGAAAACTCACTTGACTTTAAATACTTTTTCTGCTTATAATTGACACTGATGTTATGATTTTGGTCTAGCTGCTCAAATATAGCAGCAGCCACTGCTACATACTTAGATTATTATTCTCAGTAAAACTGTAGCTATAAAATGAAATTTTTAAAAAATGAAAATCTAGTTATAGGGCAATACCAACACTCCATCTCAATCAATTGGATTGGGAGTTTCCAAGCAGAAAGGCTCAGGAGTATGCAGCATCCAATATACAGCCAAACTCTGGTGAAATGTGGTTGGTTGGCTGCAAGGGACAGCCAACTGAATCCTGATTTGAATGAACCCAATATTGGGTCATACCATTTGAGGGGAGGGGAAAGAAGAAAGATGAACTCTCTAAGTCTTCTGTGGGAATGATTCCTGGGTGGTTGTTCCATGGCTGCTTACCTGCTCCCTTTGCCTGGGTGGAGTAGAGCTTCACTGTTTGGTGCTTTGGTGCTGAATGATCCTTGCCTACAGTTGTGACATAAGAACAAAATAACATAAGAAAACGGCCCATCTTTTCCAGCAACCTGTTCTCACAGTGGCCAACCAGATGCCCCAGGACACCTCTATCTTCCTTTCCCCACAAAGTATCGTTTCCCCAAGGTACCAGGTAGAATGGATCAGAACTAGACAGGCAGGCATTCGTGCATCCAACTGCAAAAGCCAAAGATGTAGGAAGGGAAAGCAACCTATTTTCCCCACTCTCAAACTTTCTAGCTCAGAATATAAGGTGGGGAAGAAATGGAGGAAAGGGAAAGAGGAAAAATAATGGGCATTATGTTAAAAATATCGTTTTGTATATACGAAGCAATGTATTTAGGGGGGAAAGTGGGTACTTTTCTTAAATAGAAAACTGGAGAAAATCCTGAGCTATTAAAATGACTCTGGCATCCAGGACTTCTAAATACTCTCCCTTTTCCTTGTTTTATTTTGTCATCTGGGGCTGTGTGGGGAGTGCCAACCAACATTATCTCTGCGTATAACCAAGTGCCAAAGAGAAGTGTTGATAAAAACTCAAGTTATCAAATAAAACACTCTTCCTAAGCTGCAATTCTCATTACCAAAGCAAAGGCTCATTTACAAACACTGGCCTGCCAGCTGCAAGCTAGACTCCCCCATCCCAACTTCTAAGGCAAATGAACTTTGCTTATCGGAGAAAAAGTACATTAAAGCCAAATGCATGTTACATTTGAATGAGATCATTTATAAGAACAATACTTTTTCTACATCTAACACACCCACATCCATGCAGTGTGTACTAAAGTAAAATAGTGTGCAAAATGGTTCGAAGACCCCACTTAGATAATATGTTTCTTAGGACATTTGCTAGTCTTTAGTCCTCTTTGTGCTTTATTGCAGTGAACTACTGTATTTTTCGCTCTATAACACGCACCAGACCATAACACGCACGTAGTTTTTAAAGGAGGAAAACAAGAAAAAAAATATTCTAAACGAAACAGTGGATGTATGATTTTTGTGGTTCATGCTGTGGCCACAGACATGTGATCTGACAGTGAGTTTGAAGTAGCCCAATGCAAAAATCCTGAGGATCCATGTGGATCCATGCTTTGTAACCACGTTTTTGCATCACTGCGACCCCAGGCAACAGTGGGTGCGTGATTTTTTTGGTGCAAGATGTAGCCATGGACATGCTATGTGATCTGATGGTGAATTTGGGGTGACCCAGTGCAAAAATCCTGAGGATCCATGTGGATCCATGCTTTGTAACCACGTTTTAAGTGGGGAGGGAAGGAAAAGCACTCAAGGGACAAGGAGCACGCATGGGGTGTGTGGAGAAGGATGCTGCTAATAATGCTATTTAGCGAGCTGAGTGGGGAGGAAAGAGGGACAGAGAACCTGCTTGCTTTAAAGGAGCCAACCGGACAGGAGCCGCTTACACTCGTGTAAGTGGCTCCTATCCTCTCCCGCTTTGCTCCTTTAAAGCAAGCAGGCTCTCTGTCCCTCTCTCCTCCCCACTCAGCAGCTCTTCTCCCGCTTTGCTGTTTCAAAGCAAGCCACGGAGGGGGGAAGGAAGGGGATCCTCTGCTCACAACTGCAGCAGATCCCCGCCGCCACCCGTAGGCATTCGCTCCATAACTCGCACAGACATTTCCCCTTACTTTCTAGGAGGAAAAAAGTGAGTGTTATGGTGCAAAAAATACGGTAAGACAGCTACCCTTCCAGAAATCAACATTTTAACAGCTGTAGCATCCATGGGAGTGTGATAAAACTGTGTTTAATTATAATTTCATTTTAAAATATAGTTCACATTATTTAGGCAAAAGAGAAATGGATTTTAATGGGGCTTTTATTTTTTATTTTTTTAAATCGATAGTAAATAAAAGCAAATTGACCTTCGTTTCAAACTCAACAAAGCACCCAAAGTGAATTATAACATTATATTAAAGCAGTCATGCAAAATCTGTAATTGAAACAGAACAGGCTCTAAATGTGAAATGAGTCAACAAAGCACTGGCAAAAAAAGTCAACACAACCTAGCTAAATGCCAGCAAGTTCATTTTAAAACAAAGCTAAATTTAAAAAAGAAAGAAAATTAAGTTGTGGTAGCTGGTAGGCATTATATAGAGAAGGAGCCAATCAAATCTTCCACAGAAGCCATCCAACCAAGTAGGTGCTGAATCGAAGTAAGCTGGTGAGTTCACCAATTCCATAGTTAAATTATGGAACAAATTAAAGCAGTAATTCCCAAAATGTGTGTCACAAGAAATGCTCAATTAAATATGCACTGAAAAATCAAAACCATAATTTGAGATACAACCAGTGTCTGTATCTTGAATGGGGAGGACTTATACAGCACTGGCACCACTTCTCTGTTAATAATAGTACTAACGCAATCCAGAGGACAGAAGGATTCAGCAGAAGATATACAAGCATCACATGACAAAGCCCACACTGTAGCTGATAGACACAGGTTAATCCCTCATACATCATTACTGGCAAACAGCAGGATCCTAAACCTGAAGCCAGCCCACCTGTGGAAAGGGGGGTGATAGAAACTGGGAGGCAATATTAATGTGACTTTCCTTCAGTTGCAAGGTGGACACTTGACCACTGTTCTTGTAGTTAACCCTATTAATCTAACTAGTACTCAGTCAAGAAAGGGAATATGTATTTTTTTAGGGGCAGAACAGTAAGCCTCTAATGTTAACCCCCAAAATTAATGTGCCATCAGAAGTTGGGAAACATTGCTTTAAAGGGATCATATGGGGGGAAGATTTGACTAGTCATTCTTATGCTCATCCATGCCCATCTATTTCAGATTTCTCAAGCAGTTATTTCAAAGAGAACAAACATTACTATACATGTTATCATATATGCGTTTGAATACTGCCAAATATATATAAATAGATAGAACTGCCCTACACATTTTCACCCAGAAATACAAAATACTATGTCAAATGAATATAAGAAGTATGACTCTCAAGTTTCTACTAGCTATTTCTAAACTGCTAATGGAATAACTAGACTCCCAAATTCTTAGGAATAAGCATCAGATTTCTAGACTGTAGGCAAACAGTGGTGTTTTATTTGAGGCTTGATTGTAATTTCAAAATAATGAGAAATTCATTGAAAAATGTGGAGTGAAATATTTAAACATATAGTAAGTAAGTCACATGTACACAGCTGTTCTTTACACTGAAATGAGACCACAGATTAACTGAGCTTACAAAGAATGGAAAGTTTGATTGGCAATGGGAACATTCAGTAAGGTTACACTGTTAACTAGACTGAATGATTCTTTCAATAAAATAAAATAAATATTTGATCTGGCATTGAACTTCAGAGTTCAACCCATTCACATTGCAACATTCAGCATATGGCTGCCAAAATAGATCTTCTTTACCAGCATCAACTTCAAAGTACATCAATTAGAGTCCAATACAGCTTGGGAAAAGATTAAGGATGGGGTTTTCAAATACCAAGGAAAGTAGTATGGCAGGACCCAATTCAGAAAGCCAGGACATTTTTATTTGCAATTGGCTGCAGCTATCAGACATGATAGCTAAATGGAACCTGGGGATCAGAGGTGGCATTTCCTCAAATATCAGCTGAAGGGGCAGGGGCAGGAAAAGTACAGGGAATATTGTTGTGTTCATGCCCTGCTCTGGGCTTCCCATTCCCACAGGATGTTAGAATATACTATTGTGACTAATTTATCCAGTATGCATAGTGCTTTTCAGAGTACAAAATGACAGGTCCCTCGCCAAGGAGCTTAAAATTCAACATAGGGGATAAAGTGTGTGCAGTGGGTTGGGGGTGGAGGCAGCAGTTCACAAGGAAATAATTTGTTTTTGCTGTAGGCCCATGTACAAGGAAACCTGAGAATTAGGGGTGAGTGCCAAAGGATTCATGGAAAGAAGATGCACCCTTTGTTTGCTCAAGCAGGGTTGTTTTACCATTCTGACCATCCAGGCTACTTACAGAAAGGTTTGCCTGTAAGACCACACATTTCTAGATCTTCTGGTCATTTCAGGGGCACCAATGGAAGGGGAGACAACATTTTGCAAGTCTCTGCCACCCTCAAGCAAGTGTGCTTACCAAGCAGTGCATCCCTAACCCCTCCCTCACTATTCTGTCTACCCACCTCTCAGTTCAACCTTCCGACCTGTCCATCCATTTGCCAAAGTAAATGTTTGTGCTGATGCAGTGGAAGGACCCTGATCTGCGTGAGATCATTTGTGTGCAACATCTGTGCAAATCTGAGGATCCTGGGAGCTCCCATGGTGCAGCCTTTTCGAGCAATCAGATTGCAGAACCACTAAGAAATGGTGTGTCCACACTGATCAATTTACACAGAAAGGCTTGTGTTAACACGAGTGAGGGAATAAATTATGGCTGCCTCCACAATAAGCTCTTCCAGAATGTAATAAAGAGTTCAGTGTGTGTTCCTCACCAAGGAATCCCAACCTTTTCATTTAAAGTCTGGTTTGCAGAAGAGATAACAGCTGAAAACTAACCATCTTGACCTTGGCAAACTTAATCACAACATGTCTTTTGAAGCATTCTCCAAAGCAGGTGAAGGGAGGAGAGTAAAAAAGCTTGTTTCAGGGGGAAGTCTATGTGCAATGACAAATTCCTTTGATAAATTGCTAATGTCGTTTTAATTAGGATACACAGCAGGCTTTAAAATAAATAAAAAAATGTATTCCTAAAGGCCACCTGAAACCAATATTGGGGTGTGTGTAGAATGGTTCCTAACACTTTGCACCAAATGATCAATTATGCATAAGAAAGTTCAGAATACATACTGGTTATAATCAAGTCTTGGGCTGCAATATCATACAGCTTGGAACCAGAGCCACATTTACACCATACAGAGTTAGAAACTCAGATATATAAGCTAGGTGCCAGCTGGCTCATTAAACCAAGGTTGCAGTCACCAAAATGGAATGTCCATTTGCCATTTTGGGGTAAGACAGCTTGAAAGTCTTATTTTTCAAATGATGGACTGACTATGATTGATTCTCAGTTAAGCATCTGGCTTGTTCAGATGATAACCTTGAGCTTGCTTAAGAACCTTGAGACCTCAAAAAAGAAATGTCACTTGATCCAAGGACAGTGCACATGTATACTGGCCTATCCTGAACTCTTTCTTAATGGTGACTGATCCTGCTCAGACTTCACAGAAAAAGCAGTTTGGTTCCAGAAATTTATTCTGATTGTGCAGATAAAATATAACAGTTAAATTTTTACAGGGTGGGATATTAGTGTGTGAAACTAGTCCAGGTCCAATGATCCTCAAATGGTGGAGATGTCAGGCGTCATCCTGGCACCCAGGCATCTTCACATGGTCACAAGTGGTTGAAAGTCAAGTGCAAAATGTGCCTGGCACCTGGCTAATTTTGAACACTGATATAAGCATTATTATATCATTTTAAACACTCATGGCTTCTACCAAATAATTATGGGAGCTGTTGTTTGTTAAAGGTGCTGAGAGTTGTTAAGAGGCCCTTATTCCCCTCACAGTGCAGCAATTCCAAAAGTAATTTTAGTATGCAATCTTAAGTGTCCTGTTCAGAGTGAGTGTGTGTGTGTACATGTGTGCACAAAGTAGTAGATGAACCACCTCTTCCAAAGACCTGCTGGCATGTACCACCCAAGGTGGGACTTAACTCTTTCTTATTGCATGGCATCTTATTCTCTCTCTTCTTCCCCATCCCCACTAGTTCTACATGGGGGTGGGGAGGGAGAGAATTGAAAAATAAGACCCCACTGATTGATTTTTACTATTCTTTTATATTGTAAAGTTTAAATGTTATTGTTTTACGTTTGTTTTGCTTTATTACATATTATTGCTATTTTAACTTTTTGTAAGTTGCCCTGGCAACATCAGTGGTCTTTGACAAATTACTAACCTTCAGCATAACCAGCCTCACAGTGCTGTTACAAAGCTTAAGGGGTTACTCAGAGCTTCACAGAAGTGAGAAATAATAACATTTATATTTTTTTAGGTCTTTTCTTACATTAGAGGGAGTCACAAACATCATCTCACTAATTGCCACAACACTTCCCAGCTTGTAGCTACACCAACCTCTTAATAGTCAACTCTAGTTGGGGGGAGGGGGGGCTAACACACAACTGAAGCTATCAATTTACATACCCAGATTAAAATTAAGTTGGTTTCTTCAAATGACAAGCTTGATAAATCTTGGAACAATCAGGCAATATAACAGAATCAAAGATTATACTATGCTGTTCTTCAGCGATCACAACATATCCAGTGTAAATCTTTATGGCTCAAAGAGATGCAACTATACTTGAACGCTTATTATTATTTAAACAGCTTGAAATCACAAGAGTCATGAGCCTATTGAAAAATCACTTGGATTTCAAGCTAGCGTTATGGCATATGTAGGCAGGTATTACTTTTTTAGTTTAAATTACAGTTTGCCATCCTAAGCATACATATGTATTTACCAGCATAAATGTGTGAATACTGAACAAAGCATGCATTCTTAAAAAATCAATAATAAAAAGCAAGTATGTTTTATACAGCAGTATGAAAGAAATAGTATAAAGGCAAAAATATAAACATTTCTTCATTACATTTGAACACAGTAAAAGCTGGAAATGCACATGCATGCAAACAGGAAACACACACAAACAGTATGAGTTAAGTACACCTGCCAGCTTTTGCATCATCCACAGCCAACTGGCATGATTACAGGACAACACACCACTTGCCATATGTTGAGAAAGGGGTTCTGCAAGATTGGGGGTTTCCATCAACTGAATCACAAGCCCTACGAATTTAATAACAGAGAAAAAGAGGGCTGATGACTGCAGTTCTGTATAGCTACCTACTGAATAATCACAACAGTTTCTGCCTTGACTGCTGAACCTCTGCTACTTCAAAAGCCAGGAACAAGCATGGGGTAAAAATACTCATCTACCCAAATCTGCTGGCTACAGTAACTACCTTTTACACAAGAGAGAAGTTCAGGAAGGTACTATACAGTATATCTAAAAGCTGTGCACTCACTCTAGTCAAAGGGGAATAGCCAGAAGGCTACGTGGCATTCAGACACAGCAGCACCAGGGGGAGGGGGAGGGGAAGAGAAAGCAGAAGAGAAGAAAGGAAAGACATCACCTTTCCGTGCCCCCGGACTAATAATTTGCAGCAGGTAATAAAAGCAAAAGGAAATATCTGATTGCAGTGCTAGAACAAACCCTTCCAAAAAGGAGCAGTGATCAATAGAAAGGTCAGCTTTCTAACTGGGATACACCGGAGTATGCTGAGGGGGTGGGTGGAGTGAAGAGGGCACTAAAGGGGACTTCCTGCAACATAGCAGAGATTCAAGTTGACATGGCAGGTGTGCAAAGTTTAGGTCTGACTGCTGAACTCCACTACTGCAAGAGAACAATAATATGAGCTCTTTTACATTCACCTACTTCTCAGGCACTTCATTGCACCCATAAGCACAAACCCCCTCGAAAGACTAGCCTCTTTCAACTACCTGCCATTTGAAACACAAATCCGCACACCTGAAGCACAAACAGCCCCGGCATCCTGCATATGGCTCCGTGCACAAATCCAACGACTGAACATACAATACATCAGTTTTGATACCAGCATCTGAATCAAAATCAGTTTGCCGGAGCCCAGTTTCTGCACAAACCCACTCAGCAATTCTTGCAGGCCCAATATTCTCACAACTTCCAATCTTCCTTCAATTTCACCACCTAAAGCTCCACTGTATTCACACACAGAGACACACCGCTCCCCCCCCCCCAAATCTCCTATATCCTTATCCAAGACTTCTACATCCAAGTCACAACACACCTGTGTCGTGTGGCCCTTTAAACATCCAATACTCCAAAGACCATCAGAATCACCAACCACCAACTTCAGTCTCCCGATTTCCTCAGAATCCATTCTTCTCCGCCCACCCCGCAAACCCCTTCGCAGCAAACTCCCCGTTTCCGCAAACCGGTGACAGTCCCACCCACCACACTTCCACCTGGGAGAACCTGGGAAGGTGAAAGTGGGTTTGGGGGTTGTTGGCAAAGTGTTTTAAGATGACTGGAGTGGGTATGGGTGCCGGGTGTGTGTGGCGTGGGGGAAACAGCTTGAGAGAAAAGAGTGTCCTTTTAAAAAAAATTTTAAGATAGTGGTGGTCCTCTTAGAACGGGGTGGGTTGCAAACTGAAAGCTGGACTAAGGAATGCAAGAGATGACCTGCAGGGACTGGTGTGTGTGTGTGTGTGCGCAATGCAAAGGTGTGTGATGCAAAGGTTTGCAACGGGATTAAAAACTTGGGAGGCTGCAAGCGGAGATGACCTTCCGAGGAGAAAAGCAGCCTCTTTGGAGCAAGCAGGGCGGGAGAATGCATTTTTTTTTTTTACTTGTTTCTGTTACATCGGCAGTCACGGAAGACTAAGAATCTGTGCCGGGGAGATCAGCTGGGAATGAGGCGCTGGCAGTGTCGGTGGTGCTGGGGTGGAGGGGATGAGGACTTCCTCGCGTGTAAAGCGGAGAGTGTGCCCCCCGACCCACACCAACCCCTTCCTCGCCTCCCAGCAGCCCCCCAAACTCAAGGGACACCCCGGCTTCCAACCCACCCGACCCCTCCGCAAGCCCCACCCTGGCGGCCCGGCAGACCCCTGGAGCCCCCTCCAAGAGGAGCGGGGAAGACCCGGCCACTTACCGGCGCAGGCAGGAGCCGCTGGCAGGAAGGCGGGCGGCGGGCACCGGGGAAGCCTCAGCCGCCTCCTCAGGCTCGGCGCTGCGGGGCGTCGCAGCAGCAGCAGCAACAGACTCAGTCAGACGGCTGCGCCATGATGGAATGCAGACTCCCGCACATGCGCACTGCTGCTGCCGCCGCCGCTGCCGAGGAACCGAAGAGGGGACACGCGCGTCGAACCAGAGTGGGAATCGGTGCGATCGGGCTCGTCAACCACACTGCGGTCTCGAGTGCCCTCGTCTCCGAGGTTAAGAAGCAGCCTCGGGAGGGGGGAGGGGGGGCCGGGGAGGGCGTGCTCTCCGGATCCACGTGACGGGTGTTTTGGTTCTGTTTATCTTTTGTTTGCCTTGTACACGTTATCGTCGCATTACGTTTTCCGGGTCCTTGTGCATTGCTCTCGAGACACCGGGAATGTAACCCCATGCTTGTGAAGTACGCAAGGTCAGAGCGGTGGGGAGCCGCTTACCCCCCACTCCCCTTCCTCAACCCCCCGCGGGCAGCATTCTCTTAGGGCTTCATGCCAGTGGTAAACGAGGCCAGAGGCAAAACTCGCCGGAGCAGCAAATGTAAATGTTAGCCTCGTGCAGCATTCTATTGTTTGCTGCATTTAAATGCCACTTTTCCCGTGGTTCTCCTTTCTTCTTCAATACCCCCACAACAACCCTGTGAGGTGGGCAGGGCCGGCCCCAAGACATTTCGGCAACCGAGTTGGACCCCAAAATGGACCTCCCTCCCTCCTTGCCAGGGAATAAGGGGATCAGGGAATATCTACATCAGAAACAAGGGTGGCGGGGGTGACATCAGGCTCTGCCATCCCTGTGGACCCTGCCGCCTGAGGCAGTCTTTTCACCTCATGGGCTCTGGAGGTAGGTTAGGCTGAGAGGCAAATGACTGGCCAAGGGTCACCCAGTGATCTTAACGGCCCAGGTTGGAATCAAACCCATGTCTCCCAGATCCTAGTTCCACACTCTAACCACTAAGAAACACTGCTACACCAGTAGGCTTAGTATCTCCCCTCGCTATCCCCACCAACGCAAGGACATATTGCAGAGAGGCAAAGACATTCAGGGTGCAAAGCAGAGTTAATCAGAGGTGTTGCCTGGGAAGGACTCAGAAGGTGGTATGGAGATGCCTCCAGCTTCTTGGCCTGTGGCTCCCCACATGTGAAGGAAGTAAAATCACATTCAGACTAGTACTGATACTAGAATTGAACATATTGCATTTCAGAGGTAGGAGGAGGGAAAAGGACTTTACTGAGGCAAAGTGAGTATAAAGCACCAGGTTTAAAGCTGACTCTACAATTTCCATATATTCAAGGAAGCAGGTGGTAATGTATTTTACAGAAGATTTGTGTTAACATAAAATAAAAACCCACCAGACTGCCTGAAATTTACCAGATTTTACACATTCATTAATAACTAGATTTCTATGTTAGTTTCTCTAGTATTGCTGAATCCCATACATTTTGTAACTAGGGGGCTAGTGTGACAGCGGTCAACGTCTTCCAATGCTGTGTAATTATGCAACAATTTACAAGAATTTAATGAAACATTGGGAAGAACTTTCTGACAGTAAGAACTGTTAGTGCAATGGACTGCCTCAGAAGGTGGTGGACTCTCCTTCATTGGAGAGTTTTAAGCAGAGGTTGGACAGACAGCTTTCAGAGATTTTTTAATTGTGATGCTTGCACAGCAGGGGGTTGGACTGCGGGGTCTCTGCCAACTATGATTCTTTTAATAAGTTCCTTGGATTTTAGTTGGATGCTATCACCCTCAAACAAGAAAGCAATGCAAGTTGCCAGGCAATCTGCATAGATTCTTTAATGATGGTGGATAGTATTCTTATTCTTATTCTTATTTATACCCTGCCTATCTGGCTGGGTTGCCCCGACCATTCTCTTTCTGATGCCTCTTTCACTATATCAGACCAAAATCTTTGGACTGGTTGGCACTCCCAGTACAGATGGAAATCAGGATCAAGAAACCCACATCTACTCCAGCACATCAGAGTCACCTTGAGTGTAATGAGGGAAATTTGCATGGGAGTTTGGTACCATCTGTGATTCAGCTTTAGGGTCATTTTCTGTATCTTCACTGATAAACTTTGAGTTGGTTTGTTCATGGTCTATCATTGATTTCTGCATTGAACTTCATTTCCCTATTTAATGCTCATGAGGTTCCCAAACTATTCAGCAAGACCCTATTTAATGCAACCACAAGGCCATTTCCTGTTGGTCACTTAACAAGTCTAACACTTTCCATATGGATGAGGGCCCAGGTATATTGGGTTTGAATATAAGGGAATTTCAGAAGATGGACAATTTGGGTGAGATTAAGCCATCAGCCCTGTATTTTTCGAAACAGAAGAGTGTTTGATTTACTATAACAATTAATTTTAGAGTAGAACTAAATAAAGGAATTAACATGTGCTTCTTGGACTGTAAAGTTTAAAAGGGAAAGGACTCCTGGATGGTTATGTCCAGTCAAAGGCAACTGTGGGGTTGCGGTGCTCATCTTTGCTTTCAGGCCAAGGGAGCCGGCGTTTGTCCACTGACAGCTTTCTGGATCATGTGGCCAGCATGACTAAACCGCTTCTGGTGCAGTGGAACACCGTTACAGAAGTGCACAGAAACGCCATTTACTTTCCCGCCACAGTGGTACCTATTTATCTACTTGCACTGGCGTGCTTTCAAACTGCTAAGTTGGCAAGAGCTGGGACAGAGCAACAGGAGCTTACTCTGTTGTGGGGATTCAAACTGCCAATCTTTCGATCAGCAAGCCCAAGAGGCTCAGTGGTTTAGACCACAGCGCCACCCGCGTCCCTCTTGGACTGTAATAACCTGCCAGGGGATCATTGAATTCATGAAGGGTACCTTTGAGCTTATTCTGAGAGACCAATGCATGCTCATTGGTAATAAGGAATGAGATGGAACAACAAATCCTAACCAAGGTGCTTCATTTTTGCATCATGGGTTTTGTAGTTTTAAAAGTGCATAAAAGCTTTGTTTCTTATTAAATATGCATATGGTCAACCTGTGTTGCATGGCTGCCATCTTACAAATCCTTTCTTGAGCATAAGCCTAGTTTGTTCTCAAGGCATCTAATGGGGAAAGCTAAGAAGCTTTAGAGTCTGATGCTGGATACAAATGGGTCTGAGTGTGGTATAGAGATTAAGAGCCTAAACTACAAATAAGAACCTCTGCAGTTAAAAATTTGCGACTGCTGTGAACTTTAGGCAAACCACTCTCTCTCAGCGTCAGTTCTATGCTTCATCTGCAATATGGGGAATATGAACACTGCCCACCTTTTATTTTGTTTAGGAGACGCCTTTCACATACGTTTTACAGTGGTACCTCGGGTTAAGTACTTAATTCGTTCTGGAGGTCCATTCTTAACCTGAAACTGTTCTTAACCTGAAGCACCACTTTAGCTAATGGGGGCCTCCTGCTGCCGCCGTGCCACCGGAGCACGATTTCTGTTCTCATCCTGAAGCAAAGTTCTTAATCCGAGGTAATATTTCTGGGTTAGCAGAGTCTGTAACCTGAAGCGTATGTAACCTGAAGCATATGCAACCCGAGGTACCACTGTAATTGGATTTACAACCCCACAATAAAAACAGGTAAAAATAGGTTTTTAAAATTTATTTTTAAAACAACTCAAGGTAAATTTAATAGCAATACAAATAAACGTCTAGGGCAGAGACCTAAGATACTTTTTTATTTCCCCCAGCTGAATGAGACCCTTACAAGATAAAACAAAATTTAAAAAAAACCTTCCAGTAGCACCTTAGAGACCAACTACGTTAGTTATTGGTATGAGCTTTCGTGTGCACGCACACTTCTTCAGATACATTTCAGAAGTGTGTGTGCATACGAAAGCTTATACCAATAACTAACGTAGTTGGTCTCTAAGGTGCTACTGGAAGGAATTTTTTTATTTTGTTTCGACTATGGCAGACCAAAACGGCTACCTACCTGTAATCTTACAAGATAGTTGTAAGAACTGCAACTAGATGATGCTCATAGAAGGCTCTGAACATTTGAAACCACCATACAAACATTAAGTTTTAATGTGTGCATGTAATAAAGTAAAATGTGATTTACCGTATATTTTGCTCTATAAGACTCACTTTTTTCCTCCTAAAAAGGGGAAATGTGTGTGCGTCTTATGCAGGCTGCGCGGCTATCACAGAAGCCAGAACAGAAAGAGGGGTTGCTGCTTTCACTGCTCAGCAATCCCTCTTGCTGTTCTGGCTTCTGAGATTCAGAATATTTTTTTTCTTGCTTTCCTCCTCCAAAAACTAGGTGCGTCTTGTGGTCTGGTGCATTTTTAAATGAACTCAAAAGGACTTATTTTGCATGGGTGATTGGGTTGCAGGTATGCCTCAATGCCCACAATTTACAGCAAAAAAGTACCAGTAGGAGAGATGTGGGGAACCTCTGGCCCTCCAGATGTCGTGGAACTACAACTCCTATCACCTCTGGCCATTGGCCATGCTTGCTGGGGCTGATGGGAGTTGCAGTTCAGCAACATCTGGAGGCACAAATGTTCCCTGCACTTGCAGTACAAAAAGATACATCATGACACTCCATTAGACCTCCCTTGTTGCACCCTGGCTTCAGACAAGCAAGTCTACACCCAGTTCATCCAATAGACGGACCAATTCAGTGTACCATGTGATCACAGATGGCTCTACTCTACAGGCCAACTCTTCAGCACTACAACTCAAGAAACAGTCATTATGCAAGAAGCGGCAGACAGTCCCAAGACTGAGTGAGTGCTCCACAATTTCCTGCAATGTCAAATCAATCCTTGACTGTACCTTCACTTACTCCATATAGTCCAAGAAGAAGAATGGCACTGGAGTTAGGAAGCTATGTGCCCTACTTTATTTCTCTATTTGAAGTGCTATCAGATGATAGTCCTCTGTTTGAAAGCATTCTCTTGGTCAGCCTTTGCCCACCTAGTGTAAGGTTACCAGATTTTTTTTCAATGAATCCGGGGACACTTTTCAACTTCAATAGGAATTTATCAGAGGACTGATTTGTAAATCTGGGGACGTCTGGTAACCTTAACTGAGTGCCCTCCAGATATATTGGACCACAGTCAAAATCCTGCTTAAAGATAAAGAACTCTCGGAAAGGAGACCTTGAAACTGACCACTAACAGTGAGCACCAAGATAGCAGACTGAGCAAGCAAGGAGGATTCCTGGTTATTGTCTGCCCCACTGCGGTGCATTGTTTTCATATTGAAAGCATAGTAATTATTTCTATACATGCATTGATACACAAGCAATTTTCATGCAAATCTATGCCAACTTTTGCTCTCCTTTTTGGCGAAGTGTTTCCTCTTTTTTTGGCAATATTCTGAGTGGGCGGTGTGCCTTGGACTT